GGGTGGCTCAGGCAGTTAAGCATCCAACTCATGGTTTTGGCTCAGGTTATGATCTTAGGGTTGTGGGACAGAGCCCCAGTTGGGCTCCGGTTGAGATTCTCTCTCTCCCTCTCCACCACATGTGTTCTCTAATAAATCTTTAAAAAAATAAAATGTCACTCTGGCAATGATGGAAAACAGGTTGGAAGACCAGAAGCAGAACGCCAGTTAGAGGGTTTTGGTCATCACAGAAATTATGGTGGGAAGAAGTGAACAAGCCAGGAAAAATAGAAGCAGAATCACCAGGCTTGCGATAGGGATGGATGTGGATAGAGATGGATGTGGACAAGGATAGACCCAGGTTTGTGACGGAGTAAACATCTGCAAAAGTAGAGAAAGCTAGCAAGGGGCAGACTGGAGAGGAGAAAAACTAGAGCTCCAATCTAGACAGATTAGAGATCTAGTAAGCAACCATAGAGTTCAGGGGAGAGACCTGGATTAGAGATACCAATGTAGCACAGAGGTGGGATTTCAAACCACAGGAATACATAAGGAAGTGTGTGAAGAGAGACCAAGACTGAGCCCTTATAATCGGAGAGATGTGGAGTCAAAGAAGGATTTTTAGGTACGTAAGGGAGACTAGAGAGACTGGAGGTCTTCCCCAAAACACACATGCATAGGAGAGTAGGAGGGGAAGATAACCAAAGAGGGGATGTGACCCAGAGCACATGTGGAGGAATGACAGGTAGAACACTGCTGTTGCAAGATGCAGGCAGCTTGTAAAATAAATGGCAGCAAGAAGAGGACATTCCTGACTGTTGGCTCCCATATCCTCTACTAGGGAGAGGTTCAGCACCTAGAGGCAGGGGTAGTAGCAGAACAATACAAGTTTAAAGAGTGGAGAGGTATGAAAACAGGGACCTCAACACAGGAGAATATTAGTGTAAAACTGCCTGGCAATGTTGCATGCCCAGGTCAACACACACAGTTGGTTGATCCTGAATCAGTTAATGCCAACTGACCCCACTGGATGCTTGGCCCAGGAATGGTCTTCAGCTTTCTTAAGGCACCAATACTAAAGCACCATATCCTACCCCAGCCTCTTTTCGATCCGTTTCAGAATCAGCTCCATGAGCCCCAACCCAACACAAAGTGGGTGTTCAGGCATCCCAGAAACTTAGCGACTCAAGGGAAGGCTCAAACCTGGTGTCCCCAACCCCATGATGAAGCCTGTGGGCAAGAACACAGGGATTCATTTGACTGTTACAAAGACAAATGGAATATACGCTTTTCTTTTTTTAAAGGATTACCTCAATCTTTCCAGCCTCAGAGAGGAGCATTTTCTCTTTCTTTAAATAGTTTAATCCTATTTAATATATATATGTGTGTGTGTGTGTATATATATACATATATATATACATATACATAAATATATGTGTATAATATATATATATATATTGTAAGTTTAAACTATGCTAGTCTCCCATATGCACGCACAAGATAACTCCAGTAAGGCATTAATGGATGACTTTATGGATAGTTTTATACTCACAAATAAATCTAACCATAATAGTCACTAAAAGGCTTACTACCAGTCAAGCACATTTTGAATGTTTGTGCATTAGCTCACATATCCTAACAAGCTTTCAAGATAAATTCTATCATTGGTCTCATGAATGAAAGAACGGAAAGTTCGGGGAGGTTAAAGGACATGCCCAAGGTCATAGAATAAGTTGCTGAGTCACCATCTCACTTTTTTACTTGTCACTATGCGTTTCTGTCTCATATGTATTTAAATAAAAGTGATCCTAAATGCTGTTCTATAACCCACTTTTGAAACTGAAAAAGTTCCATGGTTAACTTTCCATGTCCACATATATAGATCTTTTGTAATGAATACATTTCATTCCAACGTACCTCTGCATCATATCTTCCCATTATAAACTATGCAGCCACAAACATCCTTGTAAACGTAACCGGGGCCACTCATGGGAGGGGTGTTCCCATGCATTGTTGACTCTTTCCAGTGCCATCTCTGCACCATCTGCTGCCAAGTCCAACTCCTGGATCCCTCCTGAAGCCCTACTTCCCTCCATGGTCACCTCTTCAAGGTCACTTCATCATCATCATCTACAGCAGACTCCAGATTGGTCTCCCTGCCTCCAGAGTGAGGTTCTGAAACAAACCTGACCCTGTCATTTCCCTCCTTAAAACCTTTCCCTGGTACCTAACAGCCCTTGGACAGACACTAAACCCCCTGCCATAGTTTACAAAGCTATGCTGCTGCTACCTAACTCTCCAGACTCCTTTATTACCAACCACACTCCTTGCCCAAACCTGAAGTAGAAAAGAAAAAAAAAGGCGGGGGGGGGGGGAAAAAAAAAAAAGAAAAAAAAGGCGGCGCGGGGGAGGGGGGAGGGCAGGAGGAAGGAAGGTGTTCCAGTTTTCATTCAATGAGCTGCACCTCTTGCCTCCTGGCATTTGCATAAGCCATTCCCTCAGCTGAGAACACTTCTATCAAGTGTCCATCCATACATTCCTCAGGAAGCCACCCCTGCCCTTCCCTAAACTGGACTGGAAGGTACTCCCCAGCCACTGGTTCTTCCCCACCCTGGGATTCCTTATCCTGTACCCTGAGGGCATTTCCCACCCATCTCGCCTACTGACAGCAGGCCCTGGAGCAAGGACAAATGTGTTACTTAACCTTGGCAGCTATGGTTCCTAGCACAGGGGGCCCTGAGTAAATGATGGGTGAAACTAATGGAAAGGACAAAGTCAACTTAGGAATTCCCATGGTTGTACTGACCCTTTTGTGACTTGGTACTATTGTTGAGAATTGGTCTGACAGAGAATATTAATGTATTTTAAAAGCTTTGTGTTCCTATTAGAAGGTTAATCAAATTTGAAGCCTGAAAAATGCCAGTGGAGGATTAACCCTATGGGTTAACCCTACATAGATCAGGGCACCCTTAAGGTCCAGTGTAGTGCAACTCTCCACCTTGAAAAGAATAACTTTAATCTTAAGAGCGTTATTGATGGGACAGACTGGAATTGCAAACAGGACTTCTCATAAGCTTTTTCAAGCAATGAAGCCAAACATTACACTTAGTAAAATGTATACAAATAGCAATCTCCACAAAATAAAAATATTAATGGGGAAGCATCTGTTTAAAAGTTCTCAAAGGCTCAACCAACATTAAGCACTTTGTATTTTTAAGATTTTACTAATTTGAGAGAGAGCGCATGTGCATGCATGCATGTGCACAAGGGAAGAGGAGCAGAGGGGGAGGGAGAGGGACAAGCAGACTCCGTGCTGAGCATGGAGCCCAACATGGGGCTAGATCCCAGGACCCGGAGATCATGACCTGAGCCTAAACTAAGAGTCAGACAGACTGAGCTACCCAAGGACAGTTAACTAGCTGGTAAAGGACTGACTAGTGGCCGTGTTCTCAGTCCTTTGTTCCCTCCACAAGAGATCCCTTTCCAAAGCTTCTAAATTATAGAGTATGAAAACCACTTAATCATGCTTTGCTTTTCACACAGGCCTGCTATACCTGAGGATGCTCAATTTAATACTCTTCCTTAGAACCAAGTGTCCCATTAATAGTCTGATTTTATTAAGATTTTAAAAGTCTTTCTACTGGGGCACCTGGGTGGCTCAGTTGGTAAGCGTTTGCCTTTAGCTCAGGTCATGATTTTAGGATCCTGGGATCCTGGATTCCAGCCCCACATTGGGCTCCCTGCTCAGCAGGGAATCTGTTTCTCCCTCTCACTCTGCCTCACTCCCCAACCCCCTGCTTGCGTTCTCCCTCTGTCTTGCATGCTCTAATAAATAAAATCTTAAAAAAAAAAAAAAAAAAATTACTGACCTTTGTCTATTAAACACTTCCACTGGTTTTCAGTTTCAAGCAAATTCCAAACAATACCAACTGCAATAATGATGGAAAAGGGCTCGAATTCTGACTACAAATGCTACAAACCTTTCAGGGGAGAGTCTTCCTACATAGGTTGGTATTAAGCAAGGATCTATTCAATCGATTTCATGGCCCATGCAAGTAAAAGGAATGCAATTAAACTGGAGCAAGAAGAGACCATAGAAGGAATACTTCAGTTAACCCTTTGGGTCATTTCATTAAGGGTCTGTAGGACAGAAAGCCCAAACTCCACCTAAAAGGCAGCCAGCACTCCAATGCCAGTCCAAGTGTTCCAAACAAGGGGCAACTATTGCCAGATCTGCTTTTCCAAGAGAAGCTCCAAAACCAGGTCTATGAAACTTTGGGATTTCAAATGGTGGCAATAACTTTTTTTTTTTTAATATCCTCCATCCCATTCCTCCAAAAAATAAAATCCATGAGCAAACATTTACAGTCTCTGATATTTTGATTATAATCCCAGATTTGGAATCGAAGTAAGAGCACTTCATGTCTTTGCATATCAATGAATTTCTGAGCTTCACTGTCCTCTCCTGAAAAATAGGGTCATAAACATGAAACACAATAACAATACTTAAAACCAGTCCAAATACAGTGTAAGTAACTAGTGTTTCCTATAGGTGAAGAGTGTATATCACTATCTGTAAATTATCTGCTGCAATCTTTGAAGAACCTAATTGAAGATCCCAGGGACAGAGTTCTTAGAAGATTTAGAGCCTTTCAAATTCTGATTACTGAATAGTGAGTATTAAAGTCATTAGAAACCAAATAGAACCAGCAATAAAGAATGCTTAGCAATAGATATTTAATGAGCTGGAAGTGGCTCTTCTAATTAAGAGATCTAATAACTGTCACTAGTTAATGGCCACAGAAAGGCAGCAGAGTACACATTTAGGAGTGTAAGTTTCAGGGAAAACAGTGGCAGTATCTAAAATAAGCTGTTAAAGACAAACCAAAGGGTTCTAAGGTGAGTTTTTCAAATCTAATATACTTGTATTGTCAGATTTTAGACCCCTGTCAAACACTTACACTGATTTTCACACCGTTTTAAGCAAATGCCAAAGAATACCAACCGCAATATTAGGAAAGGTCTGTTAAAGAATTGCTTTATTAATACAAAGTACACAAACTATTAAGTGCTAAGAAATTTAAACATCTAAGTCATAGCAAACAGGTGGCAATTCAACATCCAAGGTCGACAGAACGCTGGGAGACTGCAACAGATCTAGAAGACAGGAATTTCTTACTCAATATCTGCAAACGCTTTAGTCCATCTCAACACAGACATTGGTTGTCAGTTTTACTCATAAATTCTTATTTTCCCCTTTGTCTAATGAATCCCTACCCCACCCCCAGCTAAACACACACACACTTACTTCTTGAAATGTGGCTAAGATACCAGAACTCACCTTCATTAGGAAATAACCTTAAGACATACCTGAAACTCTTATTCTTAGAGACCCACATAGGAGCCAACAATATCACTAATGTAATTTATGAAAGCATTTATGTTATCCCATCAGAACAAATAGAAAACATACTGATGATAGCTTTTGACCACCAGCTTGAACAGAGTACAGGCCTCAAACCTTGGCAGTAAGAAGGTTTTGCCAATTCTGTGCTATTGCGCTCAAGTGTCCTGATCCTAGATTAGCTGTGGATAGAACTTGGAAATCTCATTCCAAACAAGTTTATTACACCTCAAGTTATAACCCAAGAAGCTTTACGCTAAATTTAATATTATTTTCTGTATCTAAAACTGCGCAGGGGCACCTGGGTGGCTCAGTGGTTGAGCATCTGCCTTTGGCTCAGGTCGTGATCCTGGAGTCCTGGGATCAAGCCTTCTTCTCCCTCTGCCTAGGGCTCTGCCTCTTTCTCTGTGTTGCTCAAGAATAAATAAAATCTTTAAAAATAAATTATAAACAGAACTGTCCAGATTCCAGAATGATTTAATTTTACTTGAGCACTTGGGACTGAAAAACTACCAAATGAGAGGTTTCATTACTCTGAAACCTTATCTCTTTAGTTAGAAATAGAAATCACTTGTAGGCTAACCTTCCATACAATTCTGCCCCCACAATAACGGCAGCATCAGAACACAAATAATTCACAGCCCTTCTAAAAGGGCACTTGCTCACTTACTAGACTCCCAGGATAGAGAAGGCATCTTCAGGGGTGAAGGGGGGCCCAGGTGCAACAGCTTTTCAAGTTCCCTCTCCTCATCAAGGATCATGAGAGGCACTCCATTCAAGGGGAGGTGTGCAATCTGGTGCTCTTCAGGCAGGTCAAAACTCTCAAAATCTGCCATCAAGACAAAGCAATTTATCAGGGCAATGCTTCTCAGAGTGGTCAGTAGCCCCACGGGGATCTGAGACCCTTACAGTGGGCCCAGGAGGTCAAACTATGTTCTTAATAACTTCAACACCTTCTGCTGTGTTGACACTTTCAATGACGGGACAAAAGCAATGATAGATGGAATTGCTGTGCTTTAGCACAAATCAAGAAGTGGCAATAAACTATATTTTATAGTCACTATATTCCTCAAAACCATTCACTTGCAGTAAAAAATTGCCAGCTTCACATATCACTTTATCATCTACAATAAAAAGTATTAATTTTATTAGCTCTCAACCCTGAAGAACATGTCTTTTTAGTATTCTGTATGATGACAGAAGTATACCATAAAGTACTTCTGTTGCATACCGAAGTGAGGTCAAAGAAAAAAGATCTGTACAATTATTTGGTTTGCAAGCTAAACTAGAGGCCTTTTCCCTGTAATACTATTTAGTTGAAATAATGGAAAGACAAACTGGTTACTCAGACTTGGGTATTTGTAACACATTTTCTCAGAAAAATAAAAGAAGTCTATCATTTCAAGAAACAGTATTTATTGCCAATGATAATATACACAATCTCAAGGGGAAAAAAAAAAAACACTAGAACTTTGGAAAGCTTATCATTAGCTTGTCAATTTCCTAATATTTTTCTGAAGAGATCAGTGGTGACATTAATGAATGTGTGTTTGATATTGCATCATGAAACCCTTCAACATTTGGATAATCTACATTTCCCAGTGAATCATTATTTCTAAATGATCAATTTGTGATAAATGCAAAAATAAAAGATTTTCAAACTGCAGAAGAGCCCAGTGGATTTTATGGTCAGTATAAAATGTTCACTGATAGGGTTTCAGATTACACATCACAACCATACATTTGGAAACTGCCACTTGTTGAATTTTAGTGTGGTAGGAAAGAAAACTCTCCACACTTATCTGAAAAGACTATTGAAATGTTCCTCACTTTCTTAACCACGCATCTGCATGAGGCCAGATTTTTTTCATGTACTTCAACCAAAACAAGAGATACAACAAGTTGAATGCAGAAATCAGGAGAATCCAGGTATTAAAATTTTATTTATTTTTTGAGAGAGAGAAAGAGTGCACACACCAGAGGAGGAGGAGCAGAGGAAGAAGTAGACTCCCTGCTGAGCAGGAAGCCCAATGCTAGATAGGATCCCAGGGTCCTGGGATCATGACCTGAGCTGAAGACAGGTGCTTAACCCAGCCACCTAGGTGCCCCAACTGTTTTAAGTCAAATTAAGCACATTTTCAAAAATACAAAAATCATGCCATTCTCCTGAATGTTTTAGGAAAGTTATATTATGTTAAAAGAAGTTACTTACATTAATATAATGGAGGGTTTTTTTTCCCCCCAGGAATTTATTTTTACTTAGATTTCCTGCATTAAGAATTAGAATTGATAACACACAAACAAAAGTTCTCTGGGGTCTTCACTAACTTTTAAGAGTTGTAAAAGTCAGGCAGCCCGGGTGGCTCAGCAGTTTAGCACCGCCTTCAGCCCCGGGGCCTGATCCTGGGGACCCGGGATCAGGACCACGATGGGCTTCCTGCATGGAGCCTGTTTCTCCCTCTGCCTGTGTGTGTCTCTCATGAATAAGTAAATAAAATCTTTAAAAAAAAAAAAAAAAAAAAAGTTGTAAAAGTCCTAAAACAAATTTGAGAACTACTGGGTTAAGTAACAGTCCTCCTTATAATCCAAGTGCCTTGCTTCTTAGAATTATTTAAAATAGATTTTTCTTGGGGCAGCTGCCTGACTCAGTTGGTAGAGCAGGAGATTCTTGATCTCAGAGTCATGAGTTCAAACCTTACATCAGCCAGAGAGATTACTTTTTTAAAAAAAAATTTTTTTTAATTTAAAAAGAAAATACAACAGATTTTTCTTGACTATTAACAAGAATATTGAGTCTTTTTTCAAGGGGTGTAGCCTTTCCTCAAAAGAACAAAGATGAGGGGCACCTGGGTGTATCAGTTGGTTAAGCGTCTGCCCTCAGCTCAGGGCATGATTCTAGGGTCCTGGGATTGAGCCCCACATCTCAGCAGAGAGCCTGCTTCTCTGTCTCCCTCTTTCTGCCTGCCATTCTGCCTATTTGTGCGTCAAATAAAATCTTAAAAAAAAAAAAAGGAAAGAGAACCATCCTTTTCTGAAATGTGAAAGTTCTCTAAAGCCTAAATACTAGGAACTACTCTGTTTTCAAGCCTGCTAAAACCCAGAACTTAAAAGAATTGGGTGATAGGTGTCTACTTAAAACCACTGGATTATAAAAGAAACCATAAACAGAAGACTTCAGAGGAAAAAAGTCTGCAACATAATAGTTCATTTCCTTTATGCACAAAAGCTATTAAGGAAAAGGAAAGAAAGACCTATTAAAGAAAAACAAGGATACCAACAGGAAGTTTAAAAAAAAAACCCACTATAGAAGGCCAATACTCAAATATGCTCAATACACATACACACACTCCAATTTAAAACAATGATACCCATTGCCTTTTTGATAAGGGTTTTTGAAACATCTGCTGTGAGAGATTAGAGGTGAAGCAGGCATCTTCAACCACTGTAGGTAGATTCAGGAATTTATGCTATTTTGGAGGGCAACCTGGCAGTATTGTTTTCCTCAAACACAGCATATTGCAGTCCTCCTTCCTGATCAATACGCATAAATCTACCTCATTTTCCTTCACAGCTGAATCGTAATCGTTAGTATGGAAACACTATTTTATCAAATCTTAATCACATACTCTCTGAGACTCAGCAACTCCAGCTATCCTCACAAACTAACAATTTCAAGAATACCAACTGCAGAATTGTATTATATAAAAGCCAGAGACAACTTGGATGCACAGAATGCCTAAATGCCCTTAGGATGAAAGGGCAAAAATGCCAGCTCAGAAACCAATAAGGCCTTGTGTGATCTGCCCCCAGTCTCACCTGTGCTATCCTTTCCTCTTTCTTTGTCCCAGAACCAGTACAGGCCTTTGCTCTACCCCCAGATCGCTGCACACACAGACATGCGGTACTCTTGCCTTGCCCTTCCCCTCCCTTGTCTGGCTCTCCTTTGATGTCCTTTAAAGCTCCACTTCCATGTCACTTCCCGAGAAAACTTCCTGCTCTTCCAGGGGAGGTTCAGTTCCCCCTGGTGGGCCTGTTTTTCTCCTTCTGACATTTAGAGTGAGAGGATTTGTTCAATGTTTGACTTTCCCTCCAAATTTTGGGCTCCTGGGCATCCCCAGTGGCTCAGCGGTTTAGCGCTGCCTTCAGCCTGGGGTGTGATCCTGGAGCCCTGGGATTGAGTCCCATGTCGGGCTCCCTGCATGGAGCCTGCTTCTCCCTCTGCCTGTGTCTCTGCCTATCTCTCATGAATAAATAAATAAAATCTTTATAAAAAAAAAAAATCTTGGGCTCTCTTAGGGTGGAGCCTGTCATTAACCACTGCATCCAGAACCTGGATACAGTAGCCTCTCCTCATATGGAAATAAATCAAAGCTTGAAAAGGTAGTTCTATTAACAGAAAATACTTTGGGTACATGCAGCAGGTTGAAAGAATAAAAATGCATACATCATAACAGACTACGTGGATTTTCTCATTGTTCAACTTGACATAAAACTCACTTTCCAAAAGTCTTGCTAAGAACACTGTCCACTCTAGACTTGTTCAATGTTAGGGAACACATCTTATCTTCCTTAGTAGTAAGTTTTTAAGGTCAGGAACATCGTCCTCCACATCTTTGCACCAATGTCCCTTCTGAGCCAAAATGATGTTCCTTACAAATAAATCCACCAAGTACATTTGTCCGGAGAAACCCAGATTCAGGCTGTCTTATTACAGTTAGAGGTCATAGGTCATATTCATATCCATATTAGAGCTGAATTGGATTCTAAAAGAAACTCAAGGCTAAAGCATTTTTGTGTAATACCAAAAAAAAAAAAAAAATACTACCTAAAGGATTGAAAGGAAAGAATTTTTCTATTTCTGGATAGGTGTCATCTGAGGCAGGAACAGAGCTTTTTGCTTTGACAGTCTTCTCAGTCACCTAAAACCACAAAAATATGAATCAATGAAAGTGAAAAACTTGTCAACTGTTTAGTACAAGAGATCATAAGTCTTCAAGACATGTGACTGCTTCACCATATTTTTTCAATTTTATGCTGACTTCTAAAAAACCATAATCCTTAGTTCTCATAATTACATACCAATATATTTCAGCAAGCAATTCTAGGAGCATGCTCAAGAGTTAAGTCTGAAATTTAAGTATCAGCACCTTTTAGCCTAAGTCACCAAGACGGCAGTTAATTCAGAGCTAATCAACTCAATCATTCAACCTGTCAGAGAAAACAGGCATGAGTTACTCAAATAAAAGCTAATTCTAGAAACCATTTCTGGCTTTTGGATGTGATTTCCACCCATGTTTCTCCATCAGTGTTCCCTTAATTATTTGCTTGGTTAATATTAAGTTGAAATTCACACGCTGAGTAAGAGTCAGCAAGACAGTCATGGAAGTTAGAAGGCTAGATAATCCCCTGGAATAAAATTGGCAGATAGGCAATCTACAATAGTAGGCCAAAGCAGAAGCCGGCATATTCCTGACTCAACCTTATGTCACATATGCAAATCTAGAGGAAAATAGGGTTTCCCACACTTCAGTTCTGGGTTGCATTCTCATTTTTTCCACAGCCTTGCGATACTCGAATTTAACATTTCTCTTTTACTCAACTTAGTTTTTAAAAATGTCATCTTGTCCTAAAGCACAGGAGTCCTATTTTGATATAAAGTACTAGGGCTTTTTTCTAAATACATAACACAATCATTCAAATGAAATGTTAATGTACATGCTGAAGTCATCTTTCACAGCAAAGTCTCCTCAGTCTGGGATGCATGGACCTATAGCTGGTACACACATGCAAACATCGACATGCTTGCAAAGTAGAGTACCTGGTGCTTGCGCTAGGAGATGAAGATGGCAGCACCTGAGCTATATTAGCTCCGTGATCTCTGGTAAAGTATCCTCCCTCTCAGTACTTCCTGTATCCCTAAGTAGATACTATCAAAGAATCTGCTTCCACACTAGTTAAGGGCAGGTGAGGCAAAAGCATTCACCAGCTGCTTCTGAGACTTCTGATCCTGGGGCACAGAGGAAGTCCAGAGGGAGTATGATTCCCTCCTCCTAATCTATGTTTGGTAGCCTATATTTCCTTGTACTCCCAAGACAGAAAGCAAAGTAGGATGCCGATAGTCATTTTTTAAGAGTCAAGAGTGCTAGAGTGTTTCAACAGTGACTTTGCAGCCAACACTTACTTTTTTGGCAGAGAAGGTTGGCTGCTTCTGTTTGAGAGGTCCATTAGTCTTCACTGAATTTTCTGTGGCTCTGTTGACAGTTCCCAAGGCCTTTCTGGCAACTTTAGGTAAGGCTGCTTGAGCATCAAACATTTTGCCTACACGTGGTGTTGAAACCTGAGATCTCCCATCTAAAGCCTGGACTGCTTTAAAAAAAAAAAGAAAGAAAAAAGAAAATAAGATCATTCAGGGAACAAACACCCGTGCAATTTGAAGGCTGACCGTGTACATAGACTTGGCCTCATTCTCATCCCCCACTTCTGACAGTGGCATGGCCATATGTCTAATAGGACTTCAGTTCTGTGCCCTCTTAACTACTCCCTTAACTAAGATGCTGGACATGAAAAACAGACCCGTAACAAGCACTTTGCAGCAGCAGTATTCCGTGATCCTAGACTCCAGTTGCCAACCCAGCGGCTAACCGCCTCCCGCAACTACGGGCCGCGCCCACCGCCGACGGCCGACACGGCACCCCGACACCCGCGCTCCACCGCAGCCAGGGAAGAACTTACGAGGCCGAGACCCCAGCTTCAGCCCGTCCTTGGGAGCCGCACGGGGGCCTGGTTCTCCGTTCTCCTTATCAACGAAGATCAGGGTCGCCATTCTGGACTAGCTGCGGGCGTGAAACGCACCTCAGACCCCGAGGCTTAGGGAGGGGGAGAGAAGGGAAGGGGTGGCACAGAGCAAACTCCACCCAGGGCAGGTCCACGCAAACACTGGAGCTGAGGAGCAGGCGAAGCCCGTTCTGGAGCCGACGGGCATTTAACCCAGCTCCTAACTCCGGAGGCCTGCGTCGGCGGTTTGCGGCGCGCACAGGGCCTGCTACTCGGCGGAACCCAACTGCCGGGGCCGCGCACGCAGTCCCAGGCCGTGGCTCCCCCCGGCTCGGCGCTACAGACGACCCCCGCCCCCCCTCGCGGGACCCGCGCGCCCAGCCGCTCCCCACCCACCTCGCGGTTCACCCGGTGCGGACCCACGGCCAAGCTCCTCCGAGACCGAGCCTCCGGCCCCCTCGCGGGACTCCGAGTTTAAACCACAACTCGCGCTCCTATTGGTCCATCCTCCCAGGAGGCGGGGCCGGGGGGGTGGGGCGAGGCTCCCGGAAGGACCAATGGGAGGGGCCCGAGCTCCCGCGGCCCCGCCTGGAGAGCGTCTCCCGGGAAGTTTGTAGCTCGCATCCCGGGAAGGAAAAAACCAAACCCGCTGACCCCTTTACTTCTAGGTGTTTTGAACCAGCAACTCACAGAGATAGAAAGGGAGTGAACATGGTCTTCAATTCCAGGAAGTCAATGATTATTATGATATCAAGATACAGAATTTGGGTGGTTGTTGTTGTTGTTTTTCCTGAGACACGTGGCCAGGAAGTTCTTAAATGAAAAGATGGTGGGGTTGAGTCAAGGCAAAGTGGCAACAGAACTATTTTCCCAAAGTCTTCGATTAACTATTTCTCCAAAGCATAAATAGGGCATATCAAATAAAAAAGAAGATGCAGAACTGGAGGAAAGGCATTGGCAGCCATTGGAAAAATAACTGAGGAACTATGGATACATACAATTGTATTTCAATTAGGTATATAAAAAATGCTTATATAGTCAGATACTGAAACAGCTCATACTCCCTTTAAAGAATACTAGCAGAGCACGGTTAAAAGTTAGGAAGCATGGGACACCTGGGTCTCAGATCAGGTGACCCAAAAGACCTGGGATCAAGTGCCCCCCCCCCAAAAAAAAATGTTTAGTGGGGAGCCTGCTTCAGAATTCTCTCTCCCTCTGCCCCTCCCCCCATCGCGTGGGCCTGCTCTCACCCTCAATGATAAATCTTTAAAAGTTAAGAAGCGATGTAAAATACAAACAGATCAAACAGTAATGTTTGAGTCATTCTGTTGGGCTTGTGATTAAGAATGGATGGACTATTCCCTAATTGCTGAACTACCGTCAATATTTCAGGCTAGGATGCTGTTTTCATTATAGCATCAGGACTATGACTTATGATTCACAACAATGTGGATGAACTAGAGGATATTATGCCAAGTGGAATAAGTCAATCAGAGAAAGACAATTATATGATCTCACTCATATGTGGAATTCAAGAAACAAAACAGAGGATCATAGAGGAAAAGAGGAAAAAATAAAACAAGATGAAGTCAGGGAAGGAGACAAACCATAAGAGAATCTTAATCCTAGGAAACAAACTGAGGGTCACTGGAGAGGAAGGGGGGTGAGAGGATGGGGTAACTAGGTGATGGGCATTAAGGAGGGCACATGATGTAATGAGCACTGGGCGTTATATGCAACTGATGAATCAGTAAATTCTACCTCTGAAACTAATAGTACACTATATGTTCATTAATTAAATTTAAATAAATTTTTTTTAAAAAGAAGATAACCTAGTGGTCGCCAGAGGGGAGTTGGGTGGGAAGCTGGATGAAATAGATGAAGAGGATTAAGAGCACACTTATGGTGATGAGCACTGAGAAATGTATAGAATTGTTGAATCATTACATTGTACACCTAAAATTAATATCACGTTATGTTAATTATAATTGAATTTAAAAAATATCAAAAATAAGAATCTGGCTTATGAACAAAATGATGATCCTAAGGAGTACATAATTCAGGCTCCTTTTCAAATTCTGTCATTTAATGGGACTTATTTTAAACCTCTAACATCTTAACAATACATTCATCACAGCTGCCTGGAAGAGCGCAGTGGCAGAGGGCACAGAGTTGGAAAAAGATCTGAGGAATAATAAAAATATTGATAAGGAATTCCAATTTCCAAGATATGGGGAGAAATTGTGCTTGGAAAAATTAATGACCTTTTCCTATTTCTATAACAAATGGAAATAGATTAAACAAACACGAGGTAAAGGAATAAATTCAAAAGACCTAGACTGGCCTATATCATCCAATCCCTACTCCCCACAGGTCACTAGATACATTCTAACTTGCAGGTATGTTGGGAGAGAGCAGTTGAGCCTACATTATTTCCCATAAGATTTAACACTACACCTGGCATTGATCCAGTTCTCAATATGTCAGTTCATTGGCCCTTCTTCCCTGGCATTTCAGAACCAAAATTGGCTGAATGATTAATTCATTCAATAAATATTTACTGAATGTCAATTAAATGCTAGACACTGGGCAAGGCATCAAGAAGAAAATATTCTAAGAAGGTAAAGAGGACAAAAAGCCATTCACACCCATATGGACCCTTCCTTGTTCTTTTTCTTTTATTCTCTCGCCTCTCCTTATTCTCTCCCTGTATCTACCTCTAAATGTTTCAACTCCATATTGCATCATCAGCACACAAGTGTTCACTTTGGAACCGAATCTGTATAGCACCTACAGCTGGGAAGTGGGGATTCTCTATCTCCCAAGGTCTTTGAGTGCAAGATTTGTATCTCCCCCAGTTAAGTCTTCCCCTTACAACAGGAAGCACTGTGTTTCTCAAGGTCATGTAGAAACTGTAAAATGCTATAGCCCCCTCCTCTTTTTCTTTTTTTAAAGATTTTAATTTATTTATTTATATATGAGAGACACAGAAAGAGAGGCAGAGACATAGGCAGAGGATCATGCCCCGCATCAGACTTCCCCCGCGAGAAGCCTGCTTCTCCCTCTGCCTATGTCTCTGGGATCACGACCTGAGCCGAAGGCAGAGGCTCAACCACTGAGCCACCAGGTGCCCCAACTACCCCCTTTGAGTAATTCTTGTTTTCTCACCAATGATGCCCCAAACCCACTTTACTATTCCCTACTATTACTAGATTACCCAATTAGTAACCACCCTCACCTTATAATAGTACCTAGATCCTAATCAATCCCCGTTTATTCTAATCATGATTTACAAACAGCAACCCATCTAGAGAACTGAACATGTGCTTCCCTATACTTTCCTCCGAGTCCTCCAGGGGGAATCCAAACCTTACAAAGCATTCTTCCTTCTCTTCTAGTACATTATATGATTCGTCTGGAAGATGTGTTCCCTGGCTTGTGCCTGGTGGTTTTAAAACAGGCCTCAACAATTCCAAGCAAATTTCAGGAATTATTTAAAGAAATAAAAACAAAGTGGGGATCCCTGGGTGGCGCAGTGGTTTGGCGCCTGCCTTTGGCCCGGGGCGCGATCCTGGAGACCCGGGATCGAATCCCACATCGGGCTCCCGGTGCATGGAGCCTGCTTCTCCCTCTGCCTGTGTCTCTGCCTCTCTCTCTCTCTCTCTCTCTCTCTCTCTCTCTCTCTCTCTCTCTGTGGCTGTCATAAAAAAAAAATTAAAAAAAAAACAAAACTAAAAAAAAATAAAAATAAAAACAAAAACAAAGTGTAGGTGATCCAGAGACTACTCACTTTCAGGCTATTCTCTGACCCTTTCTATGACTTCACCTGTTGCCCTGTAAAATCAAAATTAATGTTTGAATTCCTAAACTCTTGGGGCTGTAAATTTTGAATAAGAAAAAAAATGGATTATGAGGGGGTTTTATGAAGCATGGGTGTGAGCTATTTTCACTTTTACTTTTTTTAAAGATTTTATTTATTTCAGAGACAGAGAGTGAGCAAAGAACAGAAATGGAGCAGTGAGGAAGAGGTAGGAGGGGGAGAAGCAGACTCTCCACAGAGCAGGGAGCCTGACATGGGCCTCAATCCATGGACTCCAGAATCATGAGCTGAGCTGAAAGCAGACACTTAACTGACTGAGCCACCCAAGCACCCCTCACTTTTGCTTTTAAAAGCAATATATACTGGGGCACCTGGGTGGCTCAGTTGGTTAAGCGACCCAGTCTTGAATTTCAACTCAGATCATTATCTCCGGGGCCTGGGATCTAGCCCAGAATTCAGCTCTGCACTAAGTGAGAAATCTGCTTTAGAATTCTCTCCCTGTCGCCTGCCTCTCCCCCTGCTCACTCTCTCTGTCTAAAAACAAACAAATCTAATACATGTTACCTTGAAAAATAAAAGACAACAGCACAAAGAAGGAAAAAAACAGAAGAAATTCTACTACAAAAATTACTGCTTAGGGGTGGCTCAGTCTGCTGAGCGTCTGCCTTCAGCTCAGAAGATGATCCAGGAGTCCTGGGATGGAACCCCCGTCCCCTCATGCTCTTTCTCTCTCTTATTCATTCAATAAATATTTACTGAATGTCGATTAAATGCTAGACACTGGGCAAGGCATCAAGAAGAAAATATTCTAAGGTAGAATGCTCTTTCTCTCGCTCTACACTCTCTCAAATAAATCAATAAAATCTTAAAAAAAAAAAAAAAGAAAAGAAAAGAAAGAAGAAAGAACGAACTACTGCTTATTTTCCAGTAACTAATCCTACTTCATAGGCGTACTTTAAAAGGAGGGTTGGGATGTCATAGATACCTAGTTTTCCCAAAATAGAAATTGTTTCATAGTATGTTTTTTTTTTTCTAATGACAAAACACAAGATCACTTCGGTACAGAATGTCACAACCACCAAACGGTGCCTTAGGTTTTCAGAGCATCTGGTATTCCTTTCACAGAGGCCTTTTACAACCGTACATTATTCGAAAATCATTTTAGTGCCTTTTTCACTTTGTATGTTGTGAATGCAAGGAAATGCTCTTTTTGCTCACCACGTCCCTCAAGGTGTCACACACTGACTACTAATTAATACTAATTTTAACTGCCTTTCTTTTTTAATATGTCACGGACTTCCCCATTCATTTCTTAGTTCTGCAGAGAGGCGTAAGCTGTTGTCTATTCTCCGTACTTTTTTTTTTTTTAAAAAAACCTCCTAAGATTCTGTGATTCTAAAAGAATCGACAACACAAACCCGGAGAGCAGGAAAGCACCTGCTCAAACTAACCCCTTCCTCCAGCCCGAGGTAAATAAAGAAGCGCGCGAGATCTCGCGATAATAACATCGCGTGGCAGCCTGACCCGGTCTCCTACCGAAAGACGTTAGTGCGCATGTGTCGCTCGTCCGGAAACTACCGCAGTGGCTGCCGGGAGAGGGCGGAAAGCCAGGAAGTAAACATCGACGGATTGAGTTTGTTTCTGTCGGTGGTTTTGGGTTCCGCTGTGACCGGATTGGGTAAGGAAACGTGGGAACTTGGGGATGGGGAGAAGGTGAAGCTGAAAAACTCTGGAAAATAGGCCGAAGGCTCCTACTTCTTAGGTACATTCCTACGAAAGTGATGAATTCCAGGTCGAGGGGGGAATGGGGATCCCGGACCGAGAAGAAAGCCGCGGTCCTAGGCCTCAGTGTGCTTGTGCCGAGCCAGACCAGGAACGTGTTAATGATTTTTAGAGTAAGAATTATCAGATATCATCGGAGTTTCATTTCCCAGCTGTTAGCTACTTGAGGCTCTTGAGCACTTGAAATATGGCTGGTCTGAATACGTGTAAAATCTGATCGGATTTTAAAGACTTTATTTTCTCTTATGTTGATTAAGTGTTAAAATAGTATGTTGGATATGTTGGATTAAATTAAAATATTTTTAAAAGTTATTTTACGTGCTTATTTTTACTATCTTAGTATGACTACTGGAACACTTAAAGTGATGTATGAGAATGGCATTATATTTATCTTGGACAGAGCCACATTGTAGGATTTTAAGCTTGTGTAAGTAGGTTATGATATGATTAAATTTGTGTTCTGAAAAAAATAACACTGCGGTGTGGAGAACTGATTGGAGAGAATGGCAGGAGACCAATAAGAAAGGGAAAGTAATACCTTCCATTAAAGTGGTAGCATTGAGAATAGAGAGAAGTAGGTAAATATGAATGCTATTCAGAAGGTAAAAAAAAAAATACTTAATGATGAATTAGTTATCGAGATTAGCTGGAACATATATGTAAAGGTATGAATAGTATTTGTCATTAAGAGAGGAAACAGTAATCAAGATGACATTCCACGGAGAAGATCATGAGTTTAAATTAAGATTTGATGAGTTTACGTGTTTCTAAGACCCTCTAAAAGGAGATGCTATGAAGTGAGCTATTGGAATATATGTATGTGAAGCTCAGATAAAAGGTCTGAAAAGGAGAAAATAAGCTGGAGAGCCAGCAGTGGTATATTAAAGCCTTAGAAATAGATGAGCTCACTACTGATGAGGTCCAGAGTGATGAAAGAGACTCCAAGACTGAGCCTTGTGGAATCCAAAATTAACTAACTGGGCAGAAATAGATGAACTTGCAAAGAAGACAAGAGCAGCAAGAGAGATTCAAGAAAAAACAGATTATAGTGTCACTTAAGCCAAGAGATAAGAATGTTTCAAGAAGGGAAGGAACAGGGGCGCCTGGGTGGCTCAGTCATTTGAGCTTCTGACTCTTGATTTCAACTTATGTTAGGATCTAGGGTCCTGGGATGGAACCCCAATGACTGTCCAGCTTCCAGGTCAGCAGGGAGTCTGCCTGTCTCCCTCCCCCTCTGCCCCTACCCCTGTTCCGTGCCCCCCACACACACACACACGCACTCTCTCACACAAAGAAATACAATAAATTTTAAAGAAATAAATATTTTAAAAAGAGAGAGAAGGAAGAAAGCTGAAAAATGTTTAGTGGATGTAGCACGTTGATCATTGATGACTTCGTGGGGCCTCTTCAGAGAGAAAAGGAGTGGAAGCTAAATTGGAGTGACTGAGGAAGGAAGTAGTTGGGAAAATAGAGTCTATGGATATAGATAACTCTTAAGGAATTACGTCTTTGAGGAAAATAAGACATTGTTTACTTATGTAGGGTTAATGTGCTAGAAAAGTTTGAGACATATATAGAGAAATTAAGGAATATTAATGAGATAAAGAGTCATAGGAAATTTTAAGTACATGTATGTTATGTTTCTCTTCATTTGTAAGTTAGATTTGAGGGAGGAACTGCAAACAGTATATAGAAATTTTTTGGGGAAGGGAAAGAGACCCTTCCCTCACAGATGCTATAAGAGCATATAAAATATTATATATAAATGAGACTGCAGTATGTGTTATGAGGTATGCAATTTGTGTACTTTTGATAGTTTCCCTGATAAACTCATGAAGGCCTACTTTATACTGATATATATTTCTTTCTTCTCATAGAGGTATCCAGATAACCATGTCAGCTGCAGCTGTAGATGCAGTTAATGCAGCCCCTCTGTCGGGGTCCAAAGAAATGAGTCTGGAGGAACCAAAGAAGATGACCAGAGAGGACTGGAGAAAGAAGAAGGAGCTAGAAGAACAGCGAAAACTGGGTAATGCTCCAGCAGAAGTTGATGAAGAAGGAAAGTAAGGACATTCATTTTTTGCATTATCTGTTCAAAATTATCAAAGTTCAAATTTATATCTACTTAGTTTAGCAATTTCTCATTTTTTAGTTTGACAGGAAACTATCTTTGCCATTTACATACTTTTTGTTTGTATTATTTTATCAAATTCATATATGTAAGGTTTAATAATAAAAAAGTATTGAAGGACTTCTAATGAACAGCAATCATCTCTTTCAGCTCTTCCCACTCCCTGTTCCACTCTGGAAAATGACTACTTTTAAATCTTTCTATCTTGAGTTTTTCTGGTTGATACCTTTACATCTCTAAATAATGTACCTACATCGTTATTGTAATCAACTCTAGGCATTATTAGCTAGCTTCTTGCTCTTTCATAAGATTTATCTACTCTTCTAACATTCATCTCTATCTTCCTTATATCTCTCCTCGCTTCAGTTCTGTCACTATTCTTAGTTGCTATATTGGAAATTTTTTCATTCTAAAATAAATTACTTATTTTTAATTTTGTTGTTTTAACTATATTATATAGAGAGATCAGGCATATTTTCTCTCTCCCCTCCACTGCACTATCTCTGTTCTTAGAGTCCGTATAGGCTACCTTTGTAATTGTATTATCAATTATTTTCAAACTTTATTCTTAAAATATATATGTTTTTTAAATTACAGAGACATCAACCCTCATATACCTCAGTATATTTCTTCAGTGCCATGGTATATTGATCCATCAAAAAGACCTACGTTAAAGCACCAGAGACCACAACCAGAGAAACAAAAGCAATATAGCTCATCTGGAGAATGGTACAAGAGGGGTGTAAAAGAGGTATTTGGGCAACTTTTGTATATATCCTTGTGAAAATGGAGATTTCATTTGAATAACTTAATATAAAAGCCTTTAATAAAGTTATATCAGATTATAAAACATCTTTTATCTGGGATTAAAATTCACAATACATACTACTTTTGTTTCTGTGTTTTCTTTTATAAGTTTTATATTGCTAAAGTACTTAAACTTTCTCATTTATAAAAGTATGGAGACTCTAAGTAGTATTTCTCTTAATGAGTAAATCACTTCACTGGACAATATAGTAAGAAGAGCCAAGTTTTTTCTAACTTATTCAGAAATAAAACGTTTTTCTTTATGTCCTTTTATAGAATTCCATAACTACTAAGTACCGCAAGGGAGCATGTGAAAATTGTGGGGCCATGACACACAAAAAGAAAGACTGCTTTGAGGTAAGTTCACCTTTGAGAATTTTCAAAACTTGTCAGAGGGTCTCTTTCTTTTTTCCTGTCAGATAGCTTAATTCTGTTTTTCTGAAATTACCTAAATTTCGGTACAAGTTAAATAAAAATTAATTTGACTGAAATTAGTTTAGCACCATCAAAATTTTCTGGAGAGTAGGAGAGTAACTGATATGTGAACAGACCATAAATTCCCATGATATGTTTATGCACACTTCATAAATGTCATCTGAAATTTTCCTCTAGGCTACAGGAACTTAGGAAAAGATTTGAATTTATTATTCTATTTCCCAGAGACCTAGGCGAGTTGGAGCAAAATTTACAGGTACTAATATTGCTCCAGATGAACATGTCCAGCCTCAGCTGATGTTTGACTATGATGGGAAGAGGGATCGGTGGAATGGCTATAATCCAGAGGAACACATGAAAATTGTGGAAGAATATGCCAAAGTTGATCTGGTGAGCAACGTTCCCTGCTTTCTCACACTCCTTAAAGAATGTACATTTTGCTGTATCACTGTTTAAGCAACTCTGTTTTTCGAGTCTTCAAGCAATATAAAAATGGTGGCATGTTTATTATAGTAGTATAAGATCTGATGCAATAGTAAAAATAAGGTGTGCTAACCATATTGGCAGCAGTTTCTTATTTGATTCTTGTATTGTTTCTCATTTCCTGAGAATTCCCTGAGGTTCCAGAAGATACTGGAAGCATGAGAACAGATTAGTATCTAAGGCTTTTGGCTTTTTAAGGTTATAAACTTGCCAAGCCTCACACATTGCATCTTATCTGAGCCTGTATTAAGTTGCCTCACATAGCATTTGAGAGAAGTTAAAGGGGAATAGGATAACTCATTTCAAAAAAGTGAATTTTATTTTAATTCAACTTCAGTTGTTTTTGTTATGATTTTACTTACTCCCGTTCCTTAAAATCCATGATCATGCTGCCTTCTTTTTTTATATAAGAGTTTACATTTAAAAATCACAGTAAAAAAATGTCACATAATGTAAATTTCATCTGTTCTTGAACAATAAAATATATGGTGATCCTGGGCCCACCTGGCAAGCATCAGTCATCTGGAGTCAAGTGACAGCTGCCCCTTTTAGACAGGACTTATTCTCTGTAGTTTAATCACTGGCACTATTTGGCTCAGTTTACATTAATGTCTGATTCAATAGGAGTTACAAACTCCAGTTATTTAGAAATCATAGATCTAGAGCTACGAGAAATCTCAAAGAGATGACCTTTCTGAAAACAATAGATTTATTGGTTTTAAGTGTGTAAAAATTAAATGTTCATTTGAATGTTGTAAAGTAAATTTCAAATGTTTCCTTTTTTGTTAGGCAAAACGAACACTGAAAGCCCAGAAACTCCAAGAAGAATTAGCCTCAGGAAAATTAGTGGAACAGGCTGTAAGTAATAAAAATGATCTATAAAAAAATTCAGACTCTAAGTAAAAAAAAAAAAAGAAAAGAAAGTCAAAACACTTCCTTTTATATCTCTTCAGTTAGAAAAGATTTAGGAAGACAGAAGTGCTATTGTGAGGAAAGACTAAAACTGGCACTTTTATACAGTTCACAGGAACATTAGTAGATCCCTCCATCCTAAAGAATTTTCTAGTAGTCAGGAAAGAGGTCACATATGCAAAGATGTAGCACTGTTTAAAATAGCAAGAAGTGGGAGGGTGAGGGGTAACTGGGTGATGGACATTAAGGAGGGCACATGATGTAATGAGCACCGGGTGTTATATAAGACTGATGAATCACTTAACCTCTACCTCTGAAACCAGTGATATATGTTAATTGAATTTGAATGAAATTTTTTAAAAATCACGAAATAAAAATCAAATAGCAAGAATTTGAAATAGCTAAAAACAGGACTAGGGAGTGGGTAAAATAAACTGTCCTGCATCTTCATGGTACAATGTTGCATAGCTCTTAAAATGGTTTTTATGGATACTTTGTAATTACAATGGATAACACTTACATTTAAATAACAAATAAAAAATATTATAATATCACAGGAAAAAAATCAGAATATTGATTTTCATTCATTGTAGAATTAGTAAATTTTTCTTTGTATTTTACTAGTATTTTCTACGTTTTCCATAATGTAATAATTTTATAGCTGAGTAAAAATAATTTTACAGTAAAAAAGATGTATTGCAGCCATTTATTCATGACAATTTAATAGTTAATGTATGTTGTGCTTATTAAAAGTTTTCTTTTAAACAAATTTATGACACACATGAGTAATAAGTTAAACATTTGGAGTTTCAATTCCTGAAAGGGACTCAGCAGGTATGAATTACAAACAGACCTAATGACCAAGTGAGCAATCACTGAGGCTACCTGGCAGGCAGGTTTACATCTCAGGTTAACAGATAGATGTTAAGATACATCTCTGCCCTTGGCCAGATACGTGGTCATAGAAAAATTAATTTACTTCTCTGAGCCTGTTTATCATGCCAAGTAGAGACAACAACACCTACCCCTCAAGAGGCCTAGCATCATATCATATAGTAAGTAAACTTGGTAATTGATAGCTGTTATTACCAACTCTGGAAAAAGGAAAATGGCCTGTTTTTCTTGTTCCGATATATTCTCTGTTGTTTGTTGTAAACACAGTCTAATTTATTTCCCCAGTAAGTATATTTAAGCGTATCCAGGGGACTGATGATTTTTGCCCACTTTCAGTGCTTGAATATTAATATTAACTATATACAGTAGAAGAATCTACTATAGAGGTTTAACTTTCTGTACAGCAGTATAAGTGTGTTTTTTTGGTTGAACTAGCAAATTGCAGAAACTCCAAAAAATATATTTGTGGGGCACCTGGCTGGCTCAGTCAGTAGAACATGTGACTCTTGATCTCAAGGTTATGAGTTCAAGCCCCACATTGGGTGTAGAAATTACTTAAAAAATAAAATCTTAAAAAGAAAAAAACATATTTCTGATTCTGAAAGTAATATATAACTCAGTGAAAAAAATAGAACATTATAAAGAAGAAAATAAGTATCTTTTGTTAACAGTTAACCTTTTGAAGTAGGCCTTTCCAAGTCCCACTCCACCTCCCCACATATATCTATATATGTATGCAATTATAATGCATGTTTTTAATGTGGATTTCACCTTTACATACTCCTTTATCACCTCATCTTTCAATTAATATATAGTACAGTGAGCTCACATTTCTGTCAATGAATGCAGACCTATTTATTTTTATATAAATTCACATGTTTCAAAATTTAAAGGAATTTAAGAAGATATATGCAGTAAAGTCCCCCGTCCTTGCCTCCAACTACCCTATCTCTAAACCTTACCGCCCCCATAATCTATTTTATTTTTCTTATGGATCCTTTCAGTTTCACAAGCTAAGACAAATATATAATGTTACTACCGTTCTTACCCCTTTTTTTAATAATAACAGCAAAAAAGGTAGCAAATTGTATGAATTTTTTTCTGCAAATTGGATACAATCACTTTTAATGGATATTCAGTGGTCATTGAGTACAGTAATTTATATAACCAGTTGTCTAATATTTATTTGATTTTTCCCAAATTTTTGATATTATATACAATACTGTAAATCACATTCTTATAGATATCTCTTTATATAATTGGTATATTATTCCATTAGAATAAATTCCTTAATGTTTATTTGTTGATGCAGTGAGTATTTTTATTTATTTAAAATTTTGATGTTGTATCACTTAGCTACCATTCAGGAAAGCTATACAAATTTATGCCCCCACCAATATAACATAATGTAATGTAATATATAGCATATGTATGTGTGTATCTATCACTGTGTTTATATAAGTAGATAAGATAGATATATTCGTACACACTCATATTTTCACATTCCCCCACTAATGCTATAAGTTACTCTTTTTAACCGTTGAAGCCTTTTAAAGGGATATGATGAAATACTATTTTGTTATAGGCATTTTATGAAGTTAGAAAAAATCCTGACCAATGGTAATGAAGAAAGAGTGTCTTTGTGACAGGGATCTTAGACTCTCCTTAAATTACAATACGGTGTCACTTAAGTAGATTCTTTCATTTCCTAAGTTTTACAAAAGTTGTTTTGGCTCTAAAGATACTTATTACATGATCCTGGTAATGTTTTCTTTTTGGATTTGATAGAAAACTAGTGAGGTTTAGCAAAACTGGTATATGCCTAAAGGTTAACATATAAGAAATGAATATATGTTTGGGTACATTGGTCATTTTAATGTTCCTCTTACTTTTGTGTGATTATAATACTATATCATTGAAAATTCTTTAGAAATATTCTGGCTTTGTAGACAGTCTGATAAAATTAGTTGCAATGACATACTTGTATTCAGAACTTACATGCTGATTACATTGAGAAATATGAGAATTTGTTCAGTTAGATTTAAATTATATTATTTTACCTAAAGTGTTAAATAATTAGTAGATTCAGTGAAATAAAATTACAAATTCTTTTTCTTCTTGAATGATGCAGAATTCTCCAAAACACCAGTGGGGAGAAGAGGAACCAAATTCTCAGATGGTAATAAATATTTTCCCTAACTAGGTATACGTTAAATTTTTCAGTTTCTGATGGCTAATAACATAAATAATAGCTTTAAAGAATATTAAGTGAATAAGAATTTGGTTAAAGGGTGCTTCTCCCTCTGCCTGTGTCTCTGCCTCTCATGAATAAATAAATAAAATCTTAAAAAAAAAAAAAAAATGGGGCAGCCCAGGTGGCTCAGCAGTTTAGCGCCACCTTCAGCCCAGGGCGTGATCCTGGAGATCCAGGATCAAGTCCCACATCAGGCACCCTGCATGAAGTCTGCTTCTCTCTCTCTCTCTCTCTCTCTCTCTCTCTCTCTGTCTCTCCTGAATAAATAAATAAAATCTTTAAAAATCATAAAATAAAATAGTTTGGTTAAAGGGAATCCAAAGGAAAGTAAGAACTAAATGCTGCTCTTTTCTTATAATTTGTTTTTCCTTCTTTCTCCTTCCTTCAGGAAAAAGATCATAATAGTGAAGATGAGGATGAAGATAAATATGCAGATGATATTGACATGCCTGGACAGAACTTTGACTCTAAGAGACGAATCACTGTCCGAAATCTCAGGATTCGAGAAGATATTGCAAAAGTAAGCCCTGCCAACTTAACACACATTCAAGAAATATTTGTCTTCTCACCCTACATTTTGTCTACTCATCTGATATCTGGGCAGTATATGGGTAATACAGTCAGTCATTCCAAGATTAAGTATCACTCTTTTTTTCCCCTTCATCTGTACCCCAGATATACAGAGATACATGTAATTGATCATGATTAACTCCTCCACCTAGTTTGCTGAAATCTTTTTTGAGAGAAGTAAACATTAATGCAGTTTTAAAACATTTTCCTTCTAGTATTTGCGGAATTTAGATCCAAATTCTGCGTACTATGATCCCAAAACTAGAGCGATGAGAGAGAATCCTTATGCCAACGCAGGAAAAAATCCAGATGAGTAAGTATCAAGCTAAATGTATAGATTTCAAGATGGGGAGGAGAGTTTTTAATCATGAAGGTGAACCTGAGTTGGACTGAACAGCATCTATGGTTGGGTTAGAAAAGAATTCACTGTCCTTAAAGAATGCAATTTCTGAAACAGTTTGTTTTTTAAATATATATTTACAGAGTGAGCTATGCTGGGGATAACTTCGTTAGATACACAGGAGATACCATTTCAATGGCTCAGACACAGTGTAAGTGCTCTATGTCAAGATATTTTCTGTCAGCTCAAAAGAAATTTGGAGGCATTTTTAAAAGCTTTTTTCAAGCATGCAATAAATGTAGCTGAGAACTCATTATGATGTTTTTGATTATTGTAGTGTTTGCTTGGGAAGCCTATGACAAGGGATCTGAAGTACATCTGCAGGCCGATCCTACAAAACTAGAGCTATTGTACAAGTCCTTCAAAGTCAAAAAAGAAGACTTCAAAGAACAGCAGAAAGAAAGCATCTTGGAAAAGGTAATTTTGACCAAAATGCTATAAAAAGAATGTTCATTAAAGGGAAATGGCCAGTTAATAATCATTTGATTCATATTTGAAATACAACACACAGAGAGACCCTTTTAATTTGTTAGGAATAGTCCTATCATCCCATTGATGTAATCAGTTGTATACATTATCACTATAGCTTTCTCAAGAAACTTTTGCAGCAAAACAGATTGTGGAAAAACTTAGTAGTTTAAAATAAATGTTTTGTTATTTCTCACAACTTTGTATGTCAGCTGGGTCTCCTGATCTGGGCCATCTGAAGCTGGATGATCTAGAATGGCCTCATTCTGGTCTCTAATATTTAGCAGGTTGATTATCCTAAGAGCTCTCATCTGGAACAGCTCATCCCTGCCTCCTGTGGGCTCTCATCCTGAAGTCCAGCTTCATTAAGCATTCTCAGGGTACCAGAAACTAGCAACAAAAAGTATGCTTTTTAGGGCTTTGCTTGCATCACATTTGCCAATTTCCAACAGGCCTGAACAAGTAACATGGCCAGGTCCAGATTCAAAGGATGGAAAAAATGACTATCTCTTGAGCGGAAGAGTAGCAAATTCATGTGGCAAATGGGCATGCATACAAGAATAAGAGGAAATGGGGCACCTAGGTGTCTCAGTTGATGAAGTGTCTGCCTTCAGCTCAGGTTATATCCCAGGGTTCTGGTATCGAGCCCTTCATTAGGCTCTCTACTAAGCAAGGAGTCTGCTTCTCACTCTGTCCCTCCCCCTACTCATGCTTTCTCCCTCTCTCTCTCTCTCTCTCAAAAGAAAAATAAAATAAAATCTCAAAATAAAATCTTAAAAAATAATAATAAGAGGAATCATGGCCATTTTGTGATATATGAATCAACAGATGAGTATCACCTGGAGACATCTTATATTTCCCTATAAAATTGTGTGACTGTTTTTTGGGTTTTTTTTTTTTTTTTTTTTTACTGCATTTTGTATGACAAAGGCCATAAAGAATATTCCTTTAATGTTTCTGATTGGAAATAAACCTATCAATAGAGATCTGAATGCAAATCTTTTCTGTAAAACGTATTTAATAATGTTCAATGTTCTTTTAGTATGGTGGCCAAGAACACTTGGATGCCCCTCCAGCTGAATTGCTTTTAGCTCAGACTGAAGACTATGTGGAGTACTCAAGGCACGGGACAGTCATCAAAGGACAGGAACGAGCTGTTGCTTGCTCTAAGTATGAGGAAGATGTGAAGATCCACAATCATACAGTATGTGTTAAACTAGAACCATTTGGTGTCCATGTTAGCATTTTCTCTGGGTTATATTTTCTTATTACAGCTTCATTAGCGAATTGTTGTGCTTCGGTTTTTTTTTTTAATTGTTTTATGAAATTTTTCCTAAAATACAAAAAATGTGAAAGAATACTATTATGTTCACCCACATACCTACTACCTAGGTTCAGAAATTTTTTGCATGTTGCCATATGTGCTTTGGGGGAATGTGTGTGTGCGCATGCATGTAAATAGAATAATATATAATCTGTATTTGTATTTTTTTAACTAAAACATTTGAAAATAACAGATATTATGGTATTTTATCCAAGAAACTCTATCATGTATCTCCCAAAATTAAGGACAGCCTCCTACATAACTACATTAACATTATCACACTTTAGAAAATTGATATGACTCCTTCTTATCATCTAATCTCTAGTTCTTAAACACATTACTAAAATATACACAAAAACTTTAAATGGGTGGTTTTTGTTTTTGTTTTGAGTCAGAATCCAATCAAAGTTGAATTCAGTTGCTATGTCTCTTTTTCTCTTCCTGTGTCATATCTCCCTTTTCATGACAGCAATTCTCAGATTGGGCCAGTTATTTTGTAAACTGTCTCATATTTTGTATTTGACTGATTCCTGGTGCTATACAATTTATTCCTGTGGCCTCTGCACTTCCTATAAACAGGAATTCAGAGCTAAAGGCTTGATTAGATATAATATAAGTTAAATATTTTGACAACATTTGTGATACAGTATAATTCATAGTGTTTTATGATGAATTATACCACATCACATCATAAAACATATGTCACTTGTTATGCCCTTGAAGTACCCAAACTACAATTTTTTAAGGTCAAAAACCAAAGTACCTCTGGGAGCCAGGCCACTAATTGTATATGAGTGAAGCAAGCCAGGCACGCTGTATAAACTAGAGAGCATAGACCTTGTCTAAAAGGGGCATCCAGTGGTCAGCAACAGTCAGTTCTTGCCAAGTGGGAATGTGAGCCCAGAATCTCCCAGTTCTTAATTTTTGAAGAGAAGTCAGATAATCCTTTTTTTTTTTTTTTTATAGTTTTGGGAATGGAATGTGAGATCACTATAACTTAATGGCTGCTTCTCACACTTGAGGTCAGCCCACCTTTTTCCTGTCAGCCAGCCCTGGAATCCCCATAATTTTCTTCCCAATTTACTTTTTAAAGGGCTGTATTCTTTTGTATTCATCTCAGCAGTATATGAGAGTCCCTAGTTTCGGGTTCTTTTTTTAAGTAACAACTCTCTCTCTGCAGCATATCTGGGGATCTTACTGGAAAGAAGGCCGATGGGGATACAAATGCTGTCACTCTTTTTTCAAGTATTCCTACTGCACTGGAGAAGCTGGCAAGGAGATTGCTGTAAGTACCTGTCCTCACAAGTGTAAAACAACCAAAGCTCTTAAGTCAAAATCTGTATGAAACATATTTTCTCATGTTTCAAATTTTAACTTTTCCTTCAGTGATTGGTAACTATGATACTCAAGTCAAATTACATGTATTTTCCCACAGAATTCAGAGGAATGTATTATAAATGACATAACTGGAGAAGAATCTGTGAAAAAACCTCAAACCCTCATGGAGGTATGTCTATAATCATTTGTCCTGAATTAAGTCCTTCAAGGCTGACTTTAAAATTTGTGCTGGAGCTTTGTTTTTTGCATTAGTAACACTATATATTTCAATCCTCCCTGTCAGATGCACCAGGAGAAACTAAAAGAAGAGAAAAAGAAGAAAAAGAAGAAGAAAAAGAAGCATCGGAAGAGCAGTTCAGATAGTGATGATGAAGAAAAGAAACATGAGAAATTGAAGAAGGTACTTCGTGAACTCTAGTCCAAGTGATGACAGTATTCTTTATTTGTAGCCACCTTAAGAAATTATCTATTAGTCCTGTCTCCAAGCTCATTTTAAAAATGGGGAAATGAGTTCCAAGTCTGTGGTTACCTTGAAAGTCTAGAATACAAATGGAGATTTTTGTGTTTTTTAGTATTGCCTGCTGCTAGCAATGTTTGATAAATATCACTAAGGTACAGAAGAAATGTGCTTTGTAAAGCTCTTATTTTAGAGTTATTGACAATGCCCAAAGAGAATTGCCTTCTAACTCTCTAATTTGTAGTTTTCAGCAAGTACTTGGGAAAATCAGAATTATAGTTTCTACCAGAAGCATCAATTGTGGACTTCTGTTAGTAAAATGAGTCTTGTTGAATCTTTGTTACTAAGTAAAATTTTTTTAACATTGAAAAGGTTGTAGAATGTTTTGTGCTCTATGAAAATACCATATCAGCCAAATAGTGATTAGTTGTAGCTTGACAATAGAAGGGCTGACTTTCAAGCTCTTTCAGACAATCCAGGTTTTTGATATAGCAGTTTATATTCAGTGGGATCTTTCGTATTCTGCTACTTTTGAACAGAAGAGATCTGACGTAGAGCTGTGTACTCATGTTTTTCCTCTCACTACAGGCACTGAATGCAGAGGAGGCTCGCCTTCTTCACGTCAAGGAGATCATGCAGATTGATGAGAGGAAGCGGCCTTACAATAGCATATATGAAACTCGGGAACCCACTGAAGAGGAAATGGAGGCCTATAGAATGAAACGTCAGAGGCCAGATGACCCCATGGCTTCCTTCCTTGGGCAGTAGTAACTAGTTATCAACAGTCACCCAGGACAGGCACAGCTGATACGTTCTTTTCAGCTTTTTGCTGATGATTATAGGTGGAAAAACCATGACTACTCTTCTTGCTCCCTAACTTTAATAAAGACTTCAGAAGTCTCATAGTAAATTCATTTCTTTAACGAAAAAACAAAGAGGAAGTACGTTAAGTATATATTAAGATTTTTATTTCCAGTTTTATATTAGGTGATGTGAAAAGAGGCCTTCGCTCTCTACCTAGCAAGAACATTTTCTACTTAACATTTATTAAGTCTCAAACTTTATTTCCTCAATTTTTATGGCCTTTTGTCTACTGTTAGCACACATTTCAAAGGCAGATGAATTACTCATTCTTGAAATCACAGTTTCGTTTTTTTCAAATTACTAATAACTATAATTGTAGGTATTTGAGTATCCTTTGGTTTTGCCTTCTAAGGTTTCACTGGTCTAAAGCCAAAAAAAATTATCCTATCTTGGGCTTTGGGTTACTGAAAGGAAATCTGTAGAACATGTGAATAACTTTATCCCCCATGTCAATCTGTATAGTAATAATTCTGTTTTCTACTTGGTTATAAACTTCTTATTTTTTTTTAAGATTTTATTTATTTATTCATGATAGTCACAGAGAGAGAGACAGAGAGGCAGAGACACAGACAGAGGGAGAAGCAGGCTCCTTGCAGAGAGCCCGACGTGGGATTCGATCCCGGGTCTCCAGGATCGCGCCCCGGGCCAAAGGCAGGCGCCAAACCGCTGTGCCACCCAGGGATCCCTAAAATTCTTATTTTTAAAATATTTCCTTGTACCTTACACCTAGAACAAAGTGGGTTAGCCTTTGAATGTAAAAATAGTATTTTGTCATCTTGAGTCACTGTTAACTGATCAGTACTAGGTCTTTTACCATTCTGGACATGAGCCTTTGGACACAGAAACTCTTTCCTCTATCATAGAGAATATGATTTGTGGTACCATTTGTTGTTTTGTGATTGCCTTTATGTAATAATCATGAATATTAAATTTTAAAAGATTATAGAATACCCATTGTACCTAATCTCTATGGGAGGAGGTGTCTCTTTGTGAAAATTGCAGAAAGCAAAACCTGAAGCTGAAGGTTTCTTTAAAGAATTATAAGGATAGCTCATGGGGTTATTAATAACTGAGACTGCCATGATCCTCAGGCCTCTTCTAAGAACACTGTGAAGATGATACAGTGAGTGGGATCAATGCAAAGAGCCTGTTTCAAACCCCTGACATAACTACATTGGCCTTTAACAGCTCCCTGGCTTCTAAGCTACCAAAACCCACTATAGTACCGCATTAAGTTACCATCTCAGAAATAGTGCTGATGAGAGAGTAACAAATTGTCAAGTACTATGGATATAGATTCAGACTGATAGGAAATTAAAACAATGCAAACGGAGCTCATTCTTATGTAATTCAAGAAAGTCGATGACTTAGGTTTTCATATTCCTATCTTAACATGGGGTGGTTCAACATAAAGTCTGACATTGATGTCTATTTGTATTTTATTTATCTTTTGTTAATAAAGATATGTAATTGAGAATACGTAACTGAGTGGTTTGTAGCATCATTTCAAATATTTGGCAGAAAATGAGTTTATGGGACTGGCCAGGGGGCTTTGAATTAGAAAATTTCAGGATTTTTTAACTCAAAAAATGTGTCACTTGACATTTCTGTTTCTCTGTTCCCTCTTCTGTGAAGCCTAGTTTACTGATTTTAGGAAGAATATCTGAACTCCTGTCCTATTTCTACTTCATTTTGGAAAAAAAAAAAAAGATAACACCTGGAACATTATTATGTGAACTTTGATTTTTTTTTTTAAGGTTTTGTTTATTTGACAGAGCACAAGCAGGGGTAATGGCAGAGGGAGAGGGCGAAACTGACTTCCTGAGCAGGAAGCCTGACTCGCTGCTGGATTCCCAGGACTCTGGGATCATGACCTGAGCCAATGGCAGATGCTCAACCACTGAGCCACCCAGGTGTCCCTGTTAAAATGAATCTTAAATAAAATTGACGGTCTTTTCTCTCGAATTATGGTTCTGAGGAAATTCATCTACATGCTCTAATTTATGGAAAGGGGTGACCTGCATGGACAAGAAGACACAAGCTCTAGAAGTTCATCTCCACTGCGAATATCTCCGTGGAGCTTACAGCCTGTCGCGTTTGCCGCAATGTTTAATCCGGGAGTACAATGAGCTTCCCAACTCTTTACTCCTTGATCACACATAGAAAACGCTAATTATTGGGTGTTACAAAATTGATTTCAGTGCTCTGAAGAACGATGTGGACTTTCCATTCCTTAGATCCTACGTACGACTCATCCTTTGTGGCAGACACACAAAAGAATCCCCGCTCCACGTATACAAAAAAAAAAAAAAAAAAAGGAGCGGACCACGGCGCATGCGCATGCTCCTTACCCCAGCCGGCCGAGCCCTCCACCCGCGGCTAATGCGCCTGCGCGTGGGGAGACTCCTCCGCCCGGCGGCGGGCGGGAAGCCACGCGGAGGACCCGGATGGAGCCCCGGAGCGGCCGGCTGGAGGTCGCTGCGGACTCTTGCGTCTGCCCGCGCCGCGCAGGTTCCTGCTGATGGGCCGGAGCCGAGCAGCCGGCGCCCAGGGGCTGTACCCCAGCCTGAGCGGAGAGCGGCCTGCAGCCGGAGAGCGGCGCCCGAAGGAGGCCTGAGCATCCCTTGGGCCTGCGCCCGGGCCCGGAGACGGGCGGGTGCGGAGCGAGCCGAGTCTTCTTTCCGCGCCGCCTCCCTAACGCGCCGTCCTTAATAATACACCACCAGTGCCTACCAGTTACGAGCTGCATGGTCTGCACATGCATGCTTAATCATTAAAGCTCCCAACAACCCTGTAAGGTAGGTACTATTGTCATCCCACTCGAGGAATCGAGGCTTGGAAGGGACCAGCCTCCAGGTGACAAAGCCAGGATGCCCGGCGTTTGCCGCCCGAGCGTTTGCTCGGCTGCTGTGTCCCCGGCCCTTTCCTTCTGGCTGTCGCCTCTGCCAAGCGTCCTCGCGAAATCCGGACCCCGGACCCCCGCGCGCCCTCGGACCGGAGGAGGCGGTGCCGAGATAGAAGAGGAATTGTGTTTGGCTCGGAGTTGTAGGTTTACGGCTGCACCGGGCTGTTGTCACTGCAGAAATACAGGTTCTAGCCTTTCCCAGGGATTTCTGTTCTGTGAATGTTCACTTCTAACGGGTTTCTCTCACAGTCGTGATACTTTTTCATAGCTACCCTTATACCCCATAAACTTGCCAAAAACATTTTACTGGTCTGTATCACATCTTTCACTCTGCATCTTAAGATATCCCAAACTCTCAAAGGAATCCTTCTAAAAGCGAATCATGTCTAAAGATAATGCGTTTTGCTGACTACGGTAACTTTACTGTTTATTATGGAAAATTCCCCCACATAACATGAAATATAGTGAGAATGATGCAATGTTGTGTGCCCATCATTCAGCTTCAGCAGTTCCCAACTCAAGGCCCATCTAAGGTCTTCTGTCTCCACCCCACTGTGTGTGTGTGTGTGTGTGTGTGCGCGTGTGTGCGCGTGTGCGCACGCGCGCTGACGACAGTCTTTCAAAGGAAATCCCAGACGTGTTTTCATTTCACCTTGTAAGCACCAAAGTCTGTATCTCTAATAAATGAGTACCTTTTTTCACACAAGCATGCCATTAATCACACCTGTTTAAATTAAGTTTTTTCTCTCTTTCCTCCCCATTTTTTTTTAAGCAGGCTCCACACTGGGTGTGGAGCCCAACGTGGGGCTCGAACTCACCACCCTGAGATCAAGACCTGAGCTGAGATCAAGAGTCGGATGCTTAACCAACTGAACCACCCAGGCGCCCCAGTTAACAATAATATGTTGATGCTTTTTTAGTGTTTCCATATTTTAGGATATTGTGATTACTAAATAACACAGAGGAGCAAATGAAAATTGTAAAGTTCTAAAACACAGTAAATCCCTCTTTGAGAATCTTGAAATTTCTTGCTACCTATTCTCCTTTTTTGAGGAGGATGAGGACTACTACTACCAATGACTTTTTCTGAAAATCTTTTGTTCAAAACAGGTAAATTTTCGATCAAAACATACCTGAGTGGCATAGTCAGGGTGGATTGGAATGGACCCTTAACTAGTCTATTACTATAATAATTTATAATGAGACTGAGCAAAGCTTTTTCATTCACTTCTACTCCTCCCCAAAACATACATAGTAAATATACATAAGAGAATATAGAAAAATAAGCATTTTTATGCTGATGTTATAATTTTATTATCAATTAGGAGAGATCCTAAACATAGTTGGCCCTATCATCATCACTTGACAAAAGAAAGCTTAAGATCAACTTTTAAACTTCAAATCATCTTCCAATTTTTAACTGACTCATAACAAGTAGCCATGTGGCTTGCCAACGTAATTAGTTTACATAGAAGTTCATTTTATAGCTAGTTAATTGGGCAGAGCTACTAAAAAGTTAGTGTTTTAAGTTAATATTCTTGCCTTACTTATTGTGAGGTATTTTTTTATGGCCAAAGTGGGCATTTGGATTTAAATGTGTCCCTGTTATTTCCACCACATTCTGTAGAATAGAACTTTGGAAACTTAGGGGATCATTTGTTTATCTGGGAGATAGAACTATCTTCTAAGGTATATTTGAGCCTACCTGTGGGTTATACCTTTGCTCATTGCTAAGGAGAAAGAAAAAGAAAAAGCATGGCATTCTTTCTTAGGTCCCTGAACTTTCTTAGGAGGTTGTTATCAACTCAGAAACTTAAATGCCTATTAAAGCATTTTGACTATTTACTTAGCAACCTAGCCTATCCATAATCTAGTGGTTGGCCTGAAGGATATGTTTTCATTTCTCTAAATCTAACTACTCACGAGGATATGTATTAGAATCACCTGGACAAGAATTAGAGTCTTTTTTTTTTTTTTTAAGGTAATCTATGTGCCCAACATAGGGCTTAAACTCATGACCCAAGATCAAGAGTCCCCTACTGTACTGACTAAGCCGGCCAGGTGCCCCAAGATTTAAGAGTCTTTTGTTCTCCTATGGAGAACATGATTTATTAGTTCTAAGGGAGGGAGATGTATAATTTCAGAGGAGTTCCCAGTGATTGTGATGAGCATCTCTTATTAAAGATTACTATCATGCATAAGAATTATCTAAAATGCTTATGTAGAATACAGATTCTGAGCCCCTACTGTAGAACTAGGGAATCAGAATCTCTGGAAGTGGGGACCATGAATCTGCATTTTAGCAAAAGATTTTACTGATTCCTCCATTTGCTAAACCAGGAACCATTACCTTCTAATTCCTGTCCTCAGATTAAAACAAATCTTAATCTTGGGAACATTGCTTATTTTCATTCCATAGTTTCGGCTTTTTCTTGGACTGCTTTTACTGAGGGGTAGTTATATGAAAAAGCATCATGAAATTCCTATTGTAACTAAGGGTGTCCTTCTATGAGAGACAGTTTTCTGAAGTTTCAGTGACAAGAATAGTTGCGTTTCTCCTGAGCAATTTGTTTTGCTTTTCTGTATAGACAGTATGACTCAGAGACTGGTAGTGTGTTACACTCTAGCAGCAGGGAAGATCTGAGCCAAATTTGTATCCTACTTCTGTTTCAAAGGTGACTTAATCAGACTCATTCGAAATTCTCTACTTAGGTTGGAGTGAAAGCCACTCAAGGATCACATAGTTTTACAGACCTGTTTAATCCTTAACTATCAAAAAGAACTAGCCACTATGTCAAAATGTGTCCTTCCTTATTTATTGAATTACTCCGTTCTCTATTCACTTGTTCATAACTGTCTGTGTGCGTACATCCCTGGCAGAGAATGATGGAAGGAGGGGGTGGTAGTGAGATTCCCTTTTAGGGGATACAAAATGTACCAGATTTGTTTGGAACATACATCACTGAAAGCAAATTAAGCCCTAACTGCAGTTCACCGGTAAAGGATTTACAGCTATTTACAACTTGCATAAGTCCAAATCTCCCATATGTAGCTTACTGGTAAGTCATTTATTCCAGGACATTAGCTGTGAGTTTGATAGCTTTAAGTTGGACTGTCATACTATCATGGTTTACTCTGAACTGACATGTTACAGGATATTTCTTGACATATACAAATGACAGGATGGCGTGTGATGTGGCTTTGTTTTAATTCGGTTAGCCACTGATTTTTAATGTGTGGGTTATATTTTACTCCCAAAGCAAAATTCTGCAGCATCTCTGGAATACTACCTGAGAATTTTGGGGTACCATGTCGAAGAAACGCAAATGGGATGATGACTATGTTCGTTACTGGTTCACCTGTACAACAGAGGTTGATGGAACTCAGCGCCCACAGTGCGTTTTGTGTAACTCAGTATTTTCAAATGCTGACCTCAGACCATCAAAATTGTCTGATCATTTTAACAGACAGCATGGTGGTATAGGTGGGCATGATCTCAATAGCCTGAAGCATATGCCAACACCATCTGATCAGAGTGAAACCTTGAAAGCACTTGGAGTTGCATCTCACGAGGATGCCTTATTACAAGCATCGTATCAGTTTGCGTATTTATGTGCCAAGGAGAAGAATCCTCATACAATAGCTGAAAAATTAGTGAAACCTTGTGCATTGGAAATAGCACAGATAGTTTTGGGACCAGATGCACAAAAGAAGCTTCAGCAGGTACCCTTATCAGATGATGTGATCCATTCTAGAATTGATGAAATGAGCCAGGATATCTTACAGCAAGTTCTAGAAGATATTAAAGCCAGTCCTCTTAAAGTGGGTGTTCAACTTGCTGAGACAATGGACATGGGTGACTGCAGTCAGCTAATGGCATTTGTACGATACATAAAAGAAAGAGAGATCGTAGAAGAATTTCTGTTCTGTGAACCATTGCAGTTAACAATGAAAGGAAAAGATGTGTTCAGTCTCTTCAGAGACTTCTTTTTGAAGCATAAGATAGCACTTGATGTATGTGGCTCTGTTTGTACTGACGGTGCTTCTTCTATGCTAGGAGAAAATTCAGAATTTGTTGCCTGTGTCAAAAAAGAGGCACCTCATATCGTGATCACACATTGTTTGTTGAATCCTCATGAACTTGTGACAAAGACTTTGCCTACAAAACTGAGAGATGCTCTGTTTACCGTGGTGAGAGTAATAAATTTTATCAAAGGACGAGCTCCAAATCATCGCCTCTTCCAGGCTTTTTTTGAAGAAATTGGAATCGAGTATAGTGTCCTCCTTTTCCATACTGAAATGAGGTGGCTTTCCCGAGGTCAAATACTTACCCATATTTTTGAAATGTATGAAGAAATAAATCAGTTTCTTCACCACCAAAGCAGTAATTTAGTTGATGGCTTTGAAAATAAAGAGTTTAAAGTTCACTTAGCATACCTTGCAGATTTATTCAAACACCTGAATGAGCTTAGTGCATCAATGCAAAGGACTGGGATGAATACGGTATCAGCTAGAGAAAAGTTATCAGCTTTTGTTAGGAAGTTTCCATTCTGGCTAAAGCGAATTGAGAAAAGAAATTTTACCAACTTTCCTTTTCTTGAAGAAATCATTATTTCAGATAATGAAGCAGCAAGCATTGCGGCTGAAATAACACTGCATCTGCAACAGCTGAGCAACTTCTTTCATGGATATTTTTCTATTGGAGATCTTACTGAGGCAAGTAAATGGATACTGGATCCGTTTCTTTTTAATCTGGACTTTGTCGATGATGGTTATTTGATGAAAACTGATCTGGCTGAATTACGAGCTAGTGGCCAAATTCTAATGGAATTTGAGACAATGAAGCTTGAGGATTTCTGGTGTGCTCAGTTCACAGTGTTCCCAAGCCTGGCAAAGACAGCTCTAGAAATCCTTATACCATTTGCAACCACGTACCTTTGTGAGTTGGGATTTTCATCACTTTTACATTTTAAAACAAAGTCCAGAAGCTGCTTTAATATGAGTGATGACATCCGTGTGGCTATTTCAAAAAAAGTTCCTCGTTTCTCAGACATCATTGAACAGAAGCTACAGCTACAGCAGAAGTCACTGTGAGCTGATAAATTTTTAATGTATAATTTTAAATATATTCTTAATTTCATTGTTAAAACTAAGCTATAATTCTGTCTTTTTATATTTATGGTATATCAAATCCCATGAAAAAAGTTTAGCATGTTTAATTTTTAATTTTCATCTGAGTCATGTAATATATACTTTTAAATATATTCTTTGGAGTTAAGTCTTCCAATGTCCATTCCTCTAGCTCCCATGCTCTAAATACCATGATATTAATAAATATCCTAATATCCTATTAGTCACTCTTGGTCTTCTTTTAAATTATAGCAGGACTCAAAAGTCATTGAGGCTGCTAAAAAGAGGATCCCAGAGCCTCACCCTAAAGATTCTGATTTAGCAGATCTGGGCTAAGCTCAAGGGTCTTCCTTCTTAACCAGCTTCCAGATGGTTCTGATGGATTCTTTGGGCCTCTGGCCTCATCTTACTTTCCTTTCCCCCAATTCTCTCACTTATTTTACATCTTAACATATTTGTATTTTCCTAACATAGTTTAAAACTTTTGAACAGACCAGAATATAAGTAATAAATAAATTGATGTAGTAATATATATCTAATACAGTAATAAATTACTGTAGTAATTCAGGGCCATCAGAAAATTTCCTGTGGGAATTTAAATTAATATACTTTTTCTGGATAGTAATTTGGCAAAACCTTTTTCAATTTTAATAAATTTACATTTTTATTTCAAAACTTTAGTCTTATCAAAGTAGTTTAGCATCATTTTTCATGCTAAAAAATGAGTCCAATAATGAAAAGCCACAGTCCCTTTCCTGTCCAATTACTTAACCATTTCCACTTTAACATTTTGTGGATCCACCCTTATCTCTAAGACATATGTTTATACCAAATATGTATACCAGTTTTGTGTTTTATTACTTTTTTTTATTAAGTAAATTCTACCCTCAACGTGAGGCTGAAACTTAGAACCCTGAGACCAAGAGTTGTAGGCTCTACCAATTGAGCTAGCCAGGCACCCCCACTAATGCCAGTTTTTATTTATCAGTTTTAAAAGTTATATATATATTGACTCCTCTAGATAGTAGGTAATTATGGAATTTATAAAATGTTTATCTCCTACTATTCCCAATTTTTTGTAATATTTTAGTTCCTTTATTGATTATTTGTAGCCCTTAGATTGGGGATTTTTTCCTCTAGCAGTTCATCCCTGGAAAGAATGAGGGATGTCCACAGAGTTTTATTTGTGAGGCATGTAATTAAAGCATTTTTATAATGGCGAAACACTGGAAAAAAAAAAAACTGAAGGGGAACGGAATCTAACAGAGGCCACCTGAGTATGGCAAATTGAAGTTTGTGTTTTCTACACAAAACTCAACTTGATCACCATGATCAGAATACTTATATCAATAAACATAAGCACATGTCTTTCATCTAAAACTGTAGTTACAAAATATAAGTCCTATTTTTTTTCTAATCTAACATCAAAAGCAGTGGGAATAATTTCCAAAACTAATACAGGAATAAATCTGGGAGAGTATAAAGTTTCATGATACATGAGTGTATATAAAGATAGGAAGGAAGAAGGATGGGAGCAAGTACATGTATGACACATGGAAGCTAACAATACAAAGAGCAGGACTATGGTGCAATGCCGGAAGCAAATGACCTTTGATGACCAGTCTTTCGTTAAATCCACTAGAATTCTCTCTTAAATTCATTAATTTCTGCTATGAAAGAAAAACCCAAAGGATATTTTAAAGGGAATAGCTGAATTTTTAATTTATTTTCAAATTCTACTAGTTTATTTTCCCTTGGTCAAATTAAAGAGACTGCAGTGTCTGCTAAAATGAAGAAGAAACTTAGATTTTTTTTCTTAGTTTAAAAAAGTTTCCCACAATGGTACATATATTGGCCTTTATGGGTCGTATGTTGGTTTCTGTTTCTCCCAAGAAAGATAATTATCTTATATTTTTACTATATAATTAAGGTCATTGGTCAATTGCAAAAAAGAATGAGAATAAAGACATAATTTTTATAACCAGCAGATGTCACTCTCTGTGCATGATTGATTGAAAGTAAATTTAACTGCATCACAGATTTTGCCAAATACCTGATTTAAAACGTCTCTAGAAAAAGTATTCGTAGCTCAAATTAAAAATGCCCCACCTGAGGGTGCCTAAGTGGCTCAGTCAGTTGAGTGACAGGCTCTGGATTTTGGCTTAGATCATGATCTTGGGGTCCTTGGATCAAACCCCACATGGGGCTCAATTCAGCAGGGACAGGAAATATGTTTGAGAATTCTGTCTCCTTCTCCCTCTGCCTCTGGCCCTCTCCCTGCTTGCATTCTCTCTTTCTTTCTAAAATAAATAAATCTTCTTCTTCTTCTTCTTCTTCTTCTTCTTCTTCTTCTTCTTCTTCTTTCTTCTTCTTCTTCTTCTTCTTCCTTCTTTCTTTTTTTAATGCCCCACCTGAGCCTCTGCTGGCTCAAAATTGGCAGACAACTGTGGTGGAGCACTGAGAAAAAAAAGTGGGAAAGAAAAATATAAATTGTTTTTTCTCTAAAACTGACTTGACCATGTGGATCTTCAACATCTCAGCTACTTTTCTAAACCATCAAAGGCTACTTGAAGTGGATGGATAGGTCAGCACATAGTTTTTGCTATTCCATGACCGTTAATAAGGCTGACAGAAGTACCAAAGGCAAAGCCATACCCAGATGCATTTTTTCCAGTGAGAGTAAATTGCTGTCCCTTCTGTGATAGAGGGGATCTAACGTAAGTAACCTGCCACTAAGTGCCCATATCAGGGCTCAGTGTTGGTCTCTAGTCTTTGCTGTTGGCAGGTCAGGCACTCAGTAGGTCAGTCTTGGTGAGGGCAAGTCCATGTTGCTGAGTCATTATATAAGCCTCCCTCCTTGCCAGCATGGCCACTCTTGTACATGGGCCCACTGAGCAATCATTAAGATGACTGGAAAAAGAGGCTAATTACTACAAAGTACGTCATCTTGTCCTGATTATTGAGAGCCTCTCTGTCTTAATTCAGGTTCAGCAAGGCCTTTGAGAAGTCCTCAAGCCAAGGCCAGCCACCACAAGAGACCCATGTATACTTTAGTATTCCTGCTACTCTCAATCATTTGCTGGAAGCAGCCCATGGGAAGTGTGACCCAGCACAGGTGTGGTGATAAATTTCAGAGTGCAACAGCTGGGGCACATGGTTAATTATGTCCCATGTAGTTGCATGTCTACAAGGTACATTCTAATGGATGTACTGTGTCCTTTTGGTGAACGTTCCCCTAAAGCACAATAATCTTCAATTCTCTGCCTATTCTGAGAGGTCCATCTATACCCTCCTCCCACCCCCAGACCTGGTCACTTGTCTTAGAAATCTGTTTTTCCCAAGTCCAGAAGTCATCAAACCATTAGTTACTGCCGTTGAATACTAGCATTTAGATCCATACTTCTGGATAGTGCTAGTTCAGAAATAGCAGACAACCACTTGTACTGCTCAGGATTCTCCTTAGGAAGATTTCCCTTTCATTAAGATCTTTCAAAGACGTACTTGACTGAGGTTGTAATGTTGCAGCAGATTTTGCGGCTCCCAGCTGGTACTAGCTGGTACTATTAGACAAAATAAACTGTAAACCAGACCTAAATTTCTTGTTAGTCAGCTGGTCGTAAGTAACTTCTCATGCAGCCAAAGTTAAAGACTGAGAAAAAGGAAGCCTTGTAATGGGAGTAGGTGTCAAAGGAATTGAATCACCTACTCAGGCAACTTGCTTTTGTGTTCTACACCTGCTTGATCTCTCTCCCTCGTATACCACTTCCACTTGATGATAGGCTGCTGCTGTGCACATTCTAGTTTATGACTTACTGAATCACACAGCACCCAGTGCCATAGAGCTCTTTCTCAAAAGGAAAATCAGTTATCTTCAAAAGAGGGTATGGATTTGCTCCCAAGCCCTAGAGGTATATGATTTGATCCTCCTATTGGCATTTGCCAAAGGCTCCATACAGAATCCTTATTTGCCACATTTAATGTCTTCAAATCGTTGGTCTTAAATTTCAAGTGGCAGAGTAGCTGGCCCTACACTATGGACTTGCTACAGAGCCTTTTCCACTCCACTCAAAACTGGCAGTGTTATGGCAAATGAGTCAGAGCGATACACTCAAATGTGGTATGTGTTGCCTCCAAAAGCCAAAAAGACGCACCAAGCATCAAGCCTCTATTGCAGTGGTAGGTGATACAAGGTACAGCAACTTCTATTTCACCGGGAAAGAACTATTGCAGCATGCTCCAGGCCATTAGCACATCAGAAATTTCATCAAGGTGCATGAGTCCCTGGATTTTTATTGGGTTTATTTTCCACTCTCTGACCTCACATGCCTTTTACTAAAGCATCTGAAGTGCTGGCTACTATCTGCATATCAGATCCAATCTGCACGTCATCAGTGAAGTGGACCAGGGTGATGTACTGTGAAATGTCAAGATGATCACAATCTCTGCAGATTATACTATGACAGTAGGTTGATGTGCCCTACTGGAAGACTATAAAGGTGGTCTCAGTTCTGCAAGGTAAAAACAGGCTGCTTCTAGTGGTCATTGCAAATTGTTATAGAGAGAGGGGATAAAAAGCATTTGTCAGATCACTAATGGTACATGAAGTGCCAAGGGTTATGTTAATTTTCTCTTATAAAGATAGCACATCTGGAATAGCAGCTGGAATTGGAGTCATCACCTGTTTAAGTTTACAGTAATCTGTAGTAATTCTAAGATCCATCCACCTTTGGCACAGGACAAACAGGTAAATTTAAGTTGAGATGTGACAGATACCAAGCCTAGGATGGTGGCCCTACTCTGCAATTTCCTCTAGGGATGTGCTATTGCTCCTGGCTCCGTAAAGAGGGGACCATCTAGAGACTTCTACTTGGCCCTTTTTACAACAAGAACCATGGATCAGTGAGGAAATTTGGTTATGTCAAGAATTAAGTATGTCTAATGCAATTACACATTCAAGAACTAGAGATATAACCCTGGGTTTACAGACCTACAAGGCTCTCTGTAATTTTAACTTGGGCCAATATTCCATTCATTACCTGACCACCATTAGCCCCCACTTTAACTGGTGGACCACGGTAGTGTTTTAGGGTCCCAGAAATTAAATTACTGCCAGTCAGGGCCAGTGCTTATTAACCCTAAAAGATCTGAGGAATATTTATTTATTTATTTATTTATTTATTTATTTATTTATTTATTTATTTTGCAGGATACAGTCACCCTTTTAAAGACTGCAGGCCTCTGGGGAAGTCTTGAAAGAATGTTTATAGAATATACTGTGGCCATGTCATGGAGTCCTTAAGAGAACTCAGCATGTCCTTCAGTCAAGGGGCTCTAGGTATGATAGCTGGCTTAGGTCTGGAAACTGGAGAAGAGGCTATGACTCTTTCTGTGCTAACTTTGGTCAGACTTCTGATAACCAGACCTAGAGTTTTTCCTATTGTGTAGATCAAGTAATATTTAGTAGATTTACCATTTCATTCCTAGATTGACTGTACCAACAAGCTACTGTATTAGAATTCTCCAAAGAAACAGAACCAATAGGATTTGTGTGTATATGTACACAGGAAGAGATTTATTATAAGAAACTGGCTCTCATAATTATGGAAGTTTGGCAAATCCGAAATCTGCAGAGTAGGCCAGACAGGCAGGAAAGCAGATCCAGTCTGAAGACAGTCTGCTGGAGATTCCTCTCTTGCTTGGGAAACTTAGTCTTTTTATTCTATTCAGGCCGTCAGCTAATTGGATGAGGCCCACTCACATTTTGAAGAGCAGTCAGCTTTACTCAAAGTCCACCAATTTGAATGTTAATCTCATCCAAAAATACCATTGCAGAAACACCCAAAATAATGTTTACCTAAATATCTGGACACATCATTGACCCAGCCTAATTGACGCATAAACATAATCATCAACAGCTACTATCAATGATGCCTCGGGGTCAAAACATTTTGATGACCATTTTGTCCCTGCTGTGTATTATGTTAAACACATCCCCCTTATTTCTAGTGACTAAACACTACCATTTGGCCTCTACGGCTCTGGGATCCCTTCAATCCAGATGAAATTAATGAACAGTATTAAACTGGTGACAACATCTGCTACCATCATACTGACTAAAAGAGAACCACCACAATATTTCAGAATATTGATGATCTCCTCATTAATGTCTCGCTGAATACCTTAGTGACGGAGTATCTACTGGGTCCTCTTGAACCACGTAGTAGTGGGCAGTAGTGGGTGAGGGAAGTTTGAAAGTCACATATAATATGTTCATTCCAACATTTCCCTCTCCCTAAATCTTTTAATTCCTTTCTTTACATTATGACAGAGAAATTCTGGGATCTCAAACTCATTATTATATGTAGGTCACTGTTGTGTCCAAATAAACATTCTTAATACAGGTTAACACATCAAAGAGAGAATCCCTGATAAGTACATCCATATCAGTAAATTTGGCCTTTCATATTCCGCCTTCTTTGGTCTAGTGTTCTTAGATTCCCATTCCACACATATTTACCAGGTTTCTGCCTATGTAAATTAGAAAAATCTGGCAGTTATTTTGGATCATAAAATCTTCCTTACAGGATCAGACTCTGAACTTGTTTCCTTTTAATATGCTGTATCTGCCCCTAGTTTTGGGTCTAGTTATGGGTCTAGTGGCAACAAGGGGTAGTAGAGTAGATGTTGAAGAGTAAGTAAAGGTGTGTCCTTGAAAGGCATCTGCTTCAGGTGAGGTTAATGCAAGGACTTCAAGCACAGGAAGCCTAATCTCAGTCATGGAGAGTGAAGGCAAGGAAGGCTCAAAGTGACTTAGGGGTAAGATTTTCAGCTTCATCCAACCCCGTGGCAATGTCTTCATTCCAAGTCTTAGAATTAGTACTCACTTCGGCAGCACATATACTAAAATTGGAGCGATACGGAGAAGATTAGCATGGCCCCTGTGCAAGGATGACATGCAAATCCAAGTCTTAGCATTAGACACTGTCCCAATCCTCATCCCAACTTGCACTGAGAGACATAGTCTATGAATCCAATTTACATTTAAATTCTGCAACCCTCACCATTAAATCCTGGGTCTGAATTTGCAGCTACAAGAGATTTGAGATACTGTTAGGACTGCCATAGAATTCCCCTAATCAGGACTTGAGCTAAGACTTTACAGAGCTGAGTGTGACATTTTCCTTCTGTAAGCACTCCAGTGCTCTCAGAGGAAGGCATCCCACCCCACAGTCCTCCTAGTCATCATTATTCCCAGCAGCCATTTGATCTCCCGAGGCATCTGTTTCAAGGAAGCTCTTCATCACAATAATCTACAGCCAGTAATTTGATTAATCACTGCCACAACGTGCCATTGGTTACCAGCATCCTATTTTCATGACAAGATGTTCAATAGTGCATTCAGGTCTAGAGACAAATCCAAATACCTGAAAAAAATTCCATCTCTGAGGGTCTGTTTCCCGAGATTTCTGGTACCAATTTCTATATCAGTGAAGATTCAGTCAGGAGACACAAACTCTACCAATTACTTTCACAGACAGAATTTAATATAAAGAATTGTTCATCAGGAATTAGAAAACTAGAAAGGCAAAATGAATGATGTAGTAAATGCAGAAAGCAGTTACATATGACTCAGAGAAAGGGTCCCATGGAGCTGGGACAGAGAAGGCATCTGCCGGCTGATAGCGGTGTGTCTGAAGAAGCAGAATGAGGCTGGTTCTGAGATTGTGGAAAAAATGCAAACTTGAACCACCGGCTCCGGAAGGAAATAATTCTATCATTGCCAGGGTGAGGAACTGTTGTCGGAGTGACACAGGACAGTGACAGGAAGCAAAAGAGAAAGGAGCAAGTTCCTTGCCACTCTAGACTTCCAGTCTCTCTCTCTCTCTCTCTCTCTCTCTCTCTCTCTCTCTCTAGTGCCCCCTATTGGCTGACTAACAGAAGATCAGCTGGCAAAGGAGAATGATTTGCAAAGTCCCAGCCTTGACACGGAGCCAAGTTCAAAGCTAAGAGACCTTATAGCTTAATAACCCTGGAGGGGGACCCCTGGCTGGCCCAGCCGTTTAGCGCCTGCCTTCGGCCCAAGGTGTGATCTTGGAGTCCCTGGATCGAGTCCCTGGATCGAGTCCCAAATCAGGCTCCCTGCATGGAGCCTGCTTCTCCCTCTGCCTGTGTCTCTGCCTCTCTCTGTGTCTCTCATGAATAATAATAATAACAATAATAATAATAATACAGTGTGTATATTCTGAGCCTTTCCTTTTTTTATTTTTTTTTTATTTACGATAGTCATACAGAGAGAGAGAGGCAGAGACACAGGCAGAGGGAGAAGCAGGCTCCATGCACCGGGAGCCTGACGTGGATTCGATCCCAGGTCTCCAGGATCGCGCCCTGGGCCAAAGGCAGGCGCCAAACCCCTGCGCCACCCAGGGATCCCTGTTCTGAGCCTTTCCAAAGTGAGTTCCCAACATCATGTTTCTTTGCCCCTGCATACTTCAGCTTACTCTCAACAATAACTCCCTAATACTGTCTAATACTCAAATCATATTCAAAGCTCCTCCAATTGCTCCCAATATCTTTTTAATTCTTTGAAACACCTTTTAATTTTTTTATGACATTAACATTTTGAAGGCTGCCCCACTCTCTGAGTTGGTTGTTTTCTCTTATATCATTTAACTAGTTTCTCTGTTTTCTATTTTCTGCTAACCAGAGGTTAGGTGTGTGTACATGTAACTTTTTCTTCACAAGCAGTAGCACATATAATAACTTTATTATAGCAATCATAAATTAACTGGATGAGACATGTAGAGATAAGTGTCTTCTGAGTGTTATTTAAAAGAAACCTGTAGAAGCCTTTTGAAATACAAGATTTAGAGAAATTATTCTCCACTGCATAACAGCTGGTAGATAAAAAATTTCTTTCTAGCCACTAGCTAAATTTCATGTATGCAGTCTAATCATGCATCGTTTCCTCAAGCTGGGATTTCTGCTTTTCTTTCTAGCCAAAAGGAAGGGATAGACCCTTTATTTCTCACAGTCCCTCCCCAAATTATGCTGGCAAAATGTGGCAAGGCCTTGGTTTCTTTCTTTCTTTCTTTCTTTCTTTCTTTCTTTCTTTCTTTCTTCTTCCTTCCTCTCTCTCTCTCTCTCTCTCTCTCTCTCTCTGTCTCTTGCTTTAGGCTTTGGTCTCTATACTCATTCCTATGCTGTTCCTTCAAAGATTGATTCTACAAAGCAGAAGCCTTAGACTTTCTTAGCAGGGCATTTTCCTCAAACCAAATGTCTCTCCATTTCTGAGACTTGAGAAACATCATCAAGAGTTTTTTGCATTAAATTATAAAATGTCTTTCCAACTGAGGCCCTTCAAGTTACATCTGGAAAGTGGCTGGATCTTTTCTGGGTCATTTCCTATTGAATATAAGTAGTATCTATTTTGGTCTGACTTCATTTGTGTTGAGACTCTGGCTGGCTCAAGGCTTTAACTCTACTGAAACCTTAGGCCAAAGGAGCCTCTCCAAAATCTCTGGTTATTCTTTTCCTTCCTGCGAAGACTGCTGTGCTTATGGAAGCCCTCAGTGACCGAACGTGGCCCAGTAGAAGAACCTATGACTGGATGAGAGCCGAGCTCTTGTGGCAACTCTGGCTCCAACTCACTGTGTAACCTTGGGAAGATGGCCTGCTTCTCTGCCCCCGTTCCTTCAGCTGTATAATGGGAGAAATAATTGTCCCAAAACTTGGAAGATTTAAACAGACTGAAATGTTTGTTTGGGTTTTTTTTTTTTTTTTTTTAGAGATTTTATCCACTTATCTATTCATGAGAGACACAGTAAGAGAGAGGCAGAGACATAGGCCGAGGGAGAAGCAGGCTCTCTGCGGGGAGCTGGATGCAGACTCCATGCCAGGACCCCAAGGATCACGACCCCAAGCCAAATGCTCAACCACTGAGCCACCCAGGTGCCCTTGTTTTTGTTTTTTAAAGAAAGTATATAGCTGTAGGGGAAGGGTTACTAGTTTTAACTCTTCTCAGCTCTCTGCCACATCCCCAGATCCAACTCATCCAAAGGAAGAATTTCCAAGAACTGTAACACAGTATATATTCTTTATTTTTTTTATTTTATTGAGGGGAGGGGTATAGAATAAATACTAGATTCCCATGATTTAAAAGACAGATTGTCACCTACAATGAATGATAAACCTTCCTTTTACCACTGTTACCACTGTTACCACTCTGCAGAAGTTCCCTTCTGCAGAGACAACTTCTTGAGTCACAATGTTTTGTATATCTTTCTTGAGATAGATGCTGCTCATACATTCACGTGTGTTTGTGTTTGTTTTCCTCACTTCTTTTTAACTTGGATGATAGCAAACTATACACACTGTTCCACTCCTTATTGTTCTCGCTAAACAAAGTATCTTGCAGATAATTCCATAGTAGTACACAGAGTTCTGCCTCTATGTATGTATGTATGTGTGTGTATGTATAATGATTTAATTAGTTCCTTATGGCTAGCCATTTAGATTGTTTCCAGTCTTTTATAGTTCAAACACGGTTGAAATGAATATCTTTATGCACACTTCCAGAATAACTTATGGAAATAGCTGTGTTGAAAATAAACAGTGTATTTTCAATTTTTATACACCTGCAAGCTTTTCTTGCAGTTCAGGTATGATATTGTTTGATTCTAAATGGCATAATACACAGGGAAGCCAACACTCACTCCAACATTGTGGTCTTTCTATGGAATGGAAGCAAGTCCTCTCTTTCAGCAGCTGTCTCCTTAGTGCTGCCACATTAGTGAGACCTCATCTGGAGTGATCTCACCCTGGAGAACTTTGCAGCCCCAAAGCCCCTTGTTGAGAGTAAGCATTAACAATGGGGCCTTGGCCATTAGGTATTTGAAATGATTCAACATTCATTTTAAACCCTCTTTTGTACCAAAATTGGAGAAAAGAAAGGGTTGAAAAAGGGCAAAGAGGAAGGCCAGGAAAGCCTACATTTTAATCATAAATGGAAGTCAAAAGATTGTGGACTTTCTCTGTCATGACTTCACAACTAACTACCAAGTCACTGAAGGTCTCTGTCTCTTTTTCCCCATGTGTGAAATGAAGATCACAGACAAATCATTCCTCAGGACGTCTCCTTCTTTGGAGATTCAGATGCAGTGTAGGTCAGGGGCACTTGTTCTCCCAACCTCAACATATTCAAAAAGCAAGAGATGTCACAAATGAGTACACGACCAAGTGGGCGGTACAGTTGAGATGGCAATCAGACAGTTCTGTGCTGGAAAACAGGCTGGAGGCTCTGTTGGGGGAAAAGAGTCTTGATCTGTAGCATTTGATGATTTCTGTAGTGTAATTATTCCCACTATGACACAAATATGATATCATTTGACTTAGAATTGGAAAGAGAAGCACAGAACTGGCTGCTATCTCCAGAAAACCACCAGTTAGGAATTCAAGGAAAGCATTTTCTTCAGACTGTTCTGTGTTGAGAGACCCTTCATGAAAGAGGAGAAATTTGAAGTAGGCATTGAACGATAATGCTAGTAGGACTCTTTCCATGGTAACTGACAGGAACAACTCATGCTGGCTTGAAGAAAGAGAAAGAATGTGAGAGCGAGAATTTTGTACCACATTCTGCAGTATCTGCACAAAGCTTTCCAATAGTGTATCCAGAGCACTCCCTTTCCCACCTTTCAGCTCTTCTTGCATTTGCTTCTATCTGTATATTGATGTCACTGACTCCTCCCGCAAGCAGGCTCTCTCCAAATGGCAGAAAAAGATGGCTAGTGCAGCCCAGGGCCGTAGCTTTACAGTTAACAATTCAGAAGAAAAGCAGTGCCATGGTGTGGAAATCACATGGAAATATTTTGAGGATCTCTGCTTGGATCTCATGTCCACCATTTGGGTTCTTAACTGGGCACAAAAGGAAGGGGCACCTGGTCCTCATGCCCCTGCTCCTGCAGCCAGAGGGCAGGCAGAGCACTAA